TTATTTTTGTTATTTGACGCTATTTAGACGAATAAGCAAGTTTTCCGAAGCATAAAATTGAAGATTTCCCGCCAAAATAGAAACTTCCTGATAACATCGGAAATGTCGTTCTAACATCATTTTATTTTATTTGATTCTTCAAAAAATCGTTATAATACTATGTATTAGACTTAGAATATTCGATATCTAAACCAGAAAGTGTTAGCTAGAAATAGACTTATTTATAGAACGACCCCCCATTTCTGACTTCAGGGAAAGTTATAAAACAGTTGGGTGCTAATGACTTTGTGAAAGGGAAAAGTTCTACACTTAGAAACTTCGAAAGAAGGGATTTGGCCTGTACCGTCCGCGGGCCGCATAAACATTGATAAGGGGCCGTATGTGGCCCGCGGGCCGCAGGTTGTGCACCCCTGCTATAATAATATAATGTGAATTTGATTATTTCATTATATTTTTATAATAAAAGTTATGCTGTCAACTGTTAAGAGGAACAAACTTGCAATTTCTAGGAGAGTAATTATATATTTATATATTTTCTATTTTTAACTTCTATAAAGATCATTTAACTGTTTGCTATCCTAAGTATAAATGATAAATAAAATAAAAACCTAGTCCAATTAATAATACAGTTAAGATATATTTTCAAAAATAGCTACTGTAGAGTAAATAAAACATATTCATAATGAATGCATATTTTATACATTTAATCACATATTTAATACATTTAGTCATTCATTATTTCTGATCAATTTTCTAAAATATTATTATTTTAAAATTTATCGATTAATTAAAAATCCCTTTAATTTAGATTATTTTACTTTATAAAAAATAAACTTACATCTGCTATGGTTTCTTCTTTTTTAATTTGTTTATAGTTAATTGTAATATGTTGCCATTTATGTGGTTCAATAAGTTTATGACAAGAGGTTTCAGCTAAACAATAATAACTCCCATCTGATGCACATTTTGTAATTCTAACATAAAAAAAGACATGTTTAATTTCCAGTTTTTTTACATAATACTTTCCAAATAACTTCTTGAAATAAAAAATGTTTTACTGCACTAATTAAAAATATAGATTTTATAGCAGATTAGCAGTATTACAAAATATTAACAGTTTTATTTAATATAAATAAATGTTTAAAATTCTAACTTAAATTTTAATACTCTTATTTCAGTTTAAATAATGAAATTATCATCTTCAAAGAGAGAGAGAGAGAGAGAGAGAGAGAGAAAGAATGAAAATACCTTGTACATTTTTTTACATATTCTTAAATTATCTCACATTACTTATGATCCACATATAACGGGTAGCCAAAATGTGGCTCACAAGCTGCATGTAACTCTTTTAGACCCTTACTGCAACTCCCACATACTTACACAATTTCTTTTTAAGAACTTACATATATATATAATATTTTTGTAATTTTTCTGACTATTATATAATGTAATATAATACATAGAAATTGTAAGTGAAACTCAACTTAATATTGAATGGCAACTGAAAACTTAGGGCATATTCATAAAGTCAATAGAGTTAAATGATTACGGGTACTTTATGACAATTAGGTAAAAAAGTATAAAATAACAGTGATAATTATATGTATAGTTAAAATACTATAAACAGAGAATGTAGCTCTCCAATTGGCATTCTAATAGATGTGGCACCACTCATGTATTTCCAATAGGCAGTGTATGGCTCCTATTATGGCAAGGTTTGACCACCCATGGCATATAGTATAAAATATTATTTCTCAATAGAAACACTATTTTAAGGAACATTTCAAGAAAGGAAGTGTTCTGGTTAAAAAACACAGAGCATTTCAAGGAAAATTGATTTTGAAGAGCCAGAGAAACTTTATAAAGGGCCATAGTCAGAATAAAATATTAAAATGAAAACAACTAAACTTTAATAAGTAAATTATTAGAGAAATGTATTTAAATTATTAAGATGTTATGTTTAAATTAAATATGAAAGTAAATTTGATAGGGAAACTTTGAACCTAAAACATTTTATTGGTTATCAGACAATAAACATACATTTGTTTCTTGTAAATGAAGGCATGTCAAATGTTTTGTGTGTATGTAAATCATGTCATTTTCATTTCTTTTGAAAGATGTTTACTATTAAAATATAGACTTATTGCATGTTGATGTATAGTGTGTGTATACAGTGAAACTTCAATTCAGCACCAACATTTGCTCACCTCTGAAACTGATGTAAAATTGAGTGTGGAGTTAAACTTAAAGCATTTTTAAAAATAACAATTATTTATAGTAATACCATATGTACATACATTTTGAATCTGAAAATTGAAAGTTATGTGATTTAACATTAACAATATCATCTGCAATGCAAAATTTATCAGAGTGAGCTGCTATTACTCTGTATGGAGGACTACAGAAAAATATTAAGTTCAAAAGGAGCCAAAGGTCAAAAAAATTGAGAAGCACAGGTATACAACATATGACAATAATTAAACTTTTAATTAGTTCATTAGTATTTTGATATATTTCATTATGTTTTATGCATACAAAATAAATATTTTTTAATAAAATATGATAAAAGTCTCACTAAATAAATCATTTCTTATTAAACTATGTGGGTGGTCATCATATAATGCACATGTAAATCAGGGATGGACTACCTTTTTATGTGTAAGGCCGCATTTCAAAACTTAACTGACGCGGGCCGCATACAAGATAAAAGAGGAGGGAAAATGTAAATCACAATTATTTATTCATATATAATTATAAATTAGAATAGGTATACTTAATTTAGCTTTTAGAACTGATGTAAACATGTATCGAAAATATTTGATTAAACGTTAGTCACTGCTAGTTTTAAATTAGTTTCAATGTGAGTCTGTTAGTCGGTTTCTTGTTTTAATTTTTACTAAGTTCATTGCAGGAAAAAGTATTCACAATACATAAGTTGTAGAAAATAATGTTTGAATTTTTGCTGCATACTTAAGCTATGAAATCGATATATTTATATATATATTTTATGCAACGCGGGCCGCGGGTTGCCTATCTCTGATGTAAATAATGCTTAATTATTTTATTATTAAATTAGTGTTCATGTAAAGTTAGTTCATACTAGTTATCATTTTTCTAAGTTTTATGTAGAATTATAAATATTAGAATTGTATATGCTGTCTTATATACTTCTAAATTATTCATTGTGTAAGTTAATTCTGAGTTAATTAACTAATTATATATAATTTGTCATATCTAAGTAAGTTGTTTGTTTGTACTGAATATATTATGATATAGATATAAAACAGCAACTACCTGCTGTAACTGTAATCTAAACTGCTAAACTTTCAACTGCTTTATTAGTGTAAATACATAAATGAACAANTATTATAAAAAAATTTACCTGAAAATTAAGCTTCCACACTGAGGATCAATCCAAGTTTCAAACATTAATTCAGTTCCAATTGAAAGTACATGCAAGGTGCCAACTCTCTTCATTTGACAATCCGTTTCTTCAGATGATAACATTGAAATAAATGAACCTATGTAGTAAGTAATTATAAATAAATGAATTAATTTTATAATTACAAATATATTATGTTTTAATATTGAAATCAAGTTTCTATTACAGAAAAAATATGATAGATTAAAAATAATACTAGATTACACTTGAAAAAAATTTATAATTCAAAAACAAGCAATGTACAGTGCCCCACAAGTCTGGATCAATAAGAGTTTGTGGTAAAAATTCACAGCATTCAACATCTAAAACAATGTATTGTGCTAATATTTTTCCAAGGAAAACAATAAAATTGAAATTTAATTGATTTCTAATAGCATTGGCAATGTGTGTCACAGCTTCACTGAAAACCTCCCACTAAAATAAGTTTTTAAGAAATAACTTTTACTAATTATTTAAATTTTAATAAAAGTAAACTGAGTTGTTAGGGGGAGTGTGTGTTTATAAAGACTTGTGTTGCTTCATTCTTTGATCAGAGTAAACCTTGAACAAATACAGCATGTCAGAAGAATAAGATGCGATACTTAACAAAGAAAAAAAAAGTCAACAATAGAGTGTTCAAAGAGCCATATCAAACAAATTATATACATAACTTGTGCAATAACAAAAGATATTTGAAAATTAGGAGTTGAACATAGAGAAGAAGGGACAACAGTAAGAGAGATAGCAATAATCACATCGGAACAGAAGCCAGAGCTTTTATTTACAATTAACAGCTTGTTGACAATAGCAGTAGGGTGGATGGCAGCTCTACTAAGAATCACAAGCTAAAATAATAAACTCTTAATACACTGACCTTGAAAGAAAACACTTCCTTCTCCAATTACAAATGAAACTGATGTCAGTCCATGAAACTTGAGCTAAGTGAAAGTTGATATGTTTATTTTTGTTTTTTTCAATCAAAGTACAACAAAATAAATATTAAAAAAATGTTAAAAGGGAAAAAAACTGATTGAAATAAAAGATATAATCATAATTTTTTCATAAATAATTACTGTAACTTCACAACTTTAAAATAAAAAATCTCACGCTATAAGCAGGAATAAAGAAGCAAGCATCAATTGGTTTGTCAATTAAGAGTCACATATAAAACCATCACAATAAACTGGAACAATTTATATAGACTTTCACCTGAACATGAAATTTCCAGCAACCTGGTTGCTGGAAATTTGACATTTAGATTTTCCAATAGGCAGTGTATGGCTCCTATTATGGCAAGGTTTGACCACCCATGGCATATAGTATAAAATATTATTTCTCAATAGAAACACTATTTTAAGNAAAAACTGATTGAAATAAAAGATATAATCATAATTTTTTCATAAATAATTACTGTAACTTCACAACTTTAAAATAAAAAATCTCACGCTATAAGCAGGAATAAAGAAGCAAGCATCAATTGGTTTGTCAATTAAGAGTCACATATAAAACCATCACAGTAAACTGGAACAATTTATATAGACTTTCACCTAAACATGAAATTTCCAGCAACCTGGTTGCTGGAAATTTGACATTTAGATGAGAGTCTATAAAAGAGTCACATGACACCACTTAAATCTCCCTCAACCAACATCCTCATTCCAATTTTGTCATGAATCGGATGGGCCCATTTCAAAACTCTTTGATAACAGGTGTCGTATCCTGAAAATGATCAACTTCCTGCGGCGCTTATTGATCATAAGCAGATGAACATTTCATTGGGCCAAACTGAAGAACTGAAAAATGAGAAATAATTACAGTTTGAAAGTGTTGACAGACATTTCATTTTTTTATGGTCATACAAATCAAACAAAACAGAAACACACTGTCTTTATTACGAAGCCTTTCCTGGTCACTAAATTCTAAATGGGAAAATATTTATCCATATTCATCAGAATCTCGGAGGACAAGAATTTTTTGGCGATGCAAACAGATGGAGAAAGGCCATCAATATGAACACCACAAAACAAAGATAGTAATCCATATTGTATAATAAAATTATCAGCAAGTTAGCTGAAGAACACTTTCTTGTAAACTTGAACTTTCTCAAACAATTGTCATGCAAATTTTTCAGAAAACTGTCTTCTTCCCTACTATTTTCAGTGTGTTAAAACTCCGACATCTATCAATTTTCCACTAGATTAGAATAATGCTACTTGATTTTTCAGAAATGTGTGGTAAACACCATTCCTGTCCAATATTCTCTTTATAAATGAAAAAATATTTACAATAAACAGGATATTCAATTTTAGTAACTAGCACAATCGAATTGGGCACAATCCATACAAAATTTTGTAATCTCATCACCAATATCAGTTCTCAAGTGATTAGTTTGATCTTTATATTTTGCCAAACCCACTCTCAGGAGAATCATACTGATCCTTTTTGTAAATCTGATAGAAAATATTTTTTCTAAATTGTTAAAGATTTTCAGTAGCATCAGCAACAACCATTTGATTCATATACAATGGAATACCTTGTCATTTTAATATTGTAACAAATAACAACTTGATCAGAAATTTTCTGAAAGATGGCTAGGAAGGGGTAGATCAGTCAGTTCTGCTAGGCACCTAATTTAAATATTCCTTTTTCTTTTATTTTTTGGGGTTGTTCGAAATCCATTGTCTACTCCTCACTTGTTACAATAATGGCAGAGCTACAAGAACAGTTCAAGGAATGTTTACAATGCTATTAGAAATCAGCCTATAAATTTGGAGTAAAAAACCAGTCAATGTTTAGGCATCTCAATAATTGTATGGCTGAGAATGGAGCTGATTTTGTACATCATCTCTGATGTAAGAAAATAAAAGTAAAATAGATTATGACTCTTTTCCTAGGGTTTTTATGATCTATATTTACTAAGCAAAATGATCACCATAATTAATTGAGCTATTATTATGCTATAATTAATAATTAAAAACAGTAATTTGGTACTAGAGGTAGACTGTAGGCACCATCTCTTATCTAAATTAATAATTATAAAAATTTATTAAATAATTTAGAACATTCTGGAAGAAAAGATGGTTGGGGTCCAGATGGCATAACTGGCAAGTGCACCACACAGTAAGCAGAGATTGCAGGTTCAAGTCCTGCACTGGAAAGCCCAAAGTAGGACTTGCACCTGCAACCTATTTTGAACCTGTTTTTTCTTTTCTTCCAAAATGTTCAAAATTATTTAATAAATTATATAATTATTAATTTAGATAAGAGATAGTATTTAATGCCTACCTTTAGTACCAAATTACTTAGTTTCTAATTGTTAATTATAGCATAATATTAACCCAATTACCTATGGCGATTGTTTGACTTATTATCAACTAATAGCCTGGGACACCCCCTAATGGGCATTCTAGCAGCAGTGGTGTCATTCCATACTATAAATATAAGGACCTTGAATAAGTTCTCGCTGTTTTTTGTGAAAATTAACACTTTATTTAAAAAAAGTCGTAATAAACACATCACTGAAAATATTGTCCATCACTAGCCACTACTTTCTCCCACATTCTGGCAGCATTTGAATTCCATGTCAGAAAAATGACACGTCTATTAAGGCTATCCAAGAATCAACCCATTTTTTGGCATCTTCATAAGAACGAAAGTGCTGCTCAGCAAGGCCATGTGCCATCGATCGGAACAAGTGATAATCGGAAGGGGCGATGTCTGGTGAATACGGTGGGTGGGGTAGGACTTCCCATTTAAGTGTTTCCAAGTATGTTTTCACTGGTTGTGCAACATGTGACTGAGCATTGTCATGTTGCAAAATCACTTTGTCATGTCTCTGCTCATATAGCGGCCGTTTTTCCTTCAATGCTTGGCTCAAACACATCAATTGTAGTTGATAGTGATCTCCTGTGATGGTTTCGTTTAGTTTGAGCAGCTCGTAATAAACTACACCTAGCTGATCCCACCAAATGCAGAGCAGAAGCTTCGAACCATGGATGTTTGGCCTTGCTGACGATGTTGATGCATGGCCGGGCTTACCCCACGATTTTCTACGCTTAGGGTTATTGTAGTGTATCCATTTTTATACTTCACAACTATCTACAATTAACCAGTAACCGGTGCGAACATAACTATCTACAATAACCAGTAACCGGTGTTTTTATATCTTTCACACGAAAGATATAAAAATGTAAGCCTGAAGAAGATCCCAGGTAGAAAATCGAAAACGTTCGCTGATTTTAAAGAATTTCGCACCGGTTACTGGTTAATTGTAGATAGTTGTGAAGTACAGTATATACAACCCAGTGTGGTGAGAAAGCACATTAATTAAGTATCCATTTTTCATCGCCTGTCACAATATGATGCAGAAAACCTTTCCTTTTCTGCTGTTGAAGCAGCTGTTCACACGTGAAAAAATGCCATTCAACGTCTCTCAGCTTCAACTCGTACGGCACCCAATGTCCTTGCTTTTGAATCATTCCTAATCCTTTTAAACATTTTGAAACTGTTGTGTGATCAACTCCTAATGATTCTGCAAGTTCAGCTAGCTAGCGTCTGACATGAGCCTTCACGAAGTAACACCTCTAATTCCTCGTCTTCAAACTTTTTTGGTGCGCCAGATCGTTCTTTATCTTCAACATCAAAATCATTATTTTTGAAGCATCTAAACCAATCTCTGCATGTTGTTTCTGACAGAGCATGGTCACTGTAAGTCTCAACAAGAATTCTGTGTGCTTCAGCTGCAGATTTTTTTTGAATAAAATAGTGCAATAAAATTCCTTGCAAATATTATTTTTTTGGCATGAAACTCTACATGTTTAACACAATGAAAAAATAAGTTGTTTACACTTTGGTGAAATGACATATACTGAATTTCAAGGTTGCTTATTGTACTTCCTTACAGATGCGTCACCATCTAAAAATAAACACACGTGGTTCTGGTAACGCCATCTGTTAAAAAACAGCGAGAACTTATTCAAGGTCCCTATAATAAATTAATATTATGAATAAAAATAATAATAAACTGAATTTCTCATGGCAAACCCTATTAAAACACAATCAAAAACACAAAAAAAACCGCATCTAAAATAGTACAGTAGAAGCAGAGTTCTTCAAGGTAATCCTTAACCCTTTCCCTCATGAGGGGAATTTCAAAAAATCCCTTCTTAATGTGCATTCTCATGGCATACCCCACTAAAATGCAGTGAAAATGCAAAAACTGCGTTTATTCTTATTTTAAATAATAGCTAGGGGCATCCCTAATGGCCATTCTAAGCATACCGTTACAGATATACAGACACACAATCAATGGCTTATATTATTAGATACATCAGGCTTTGGGATATCAATATAATCTACGTTTATTGGAACTTTTAGTTTTTAATTTTGGAATAAACATATGTATTTATTACCAACAGTTATAATTCATCCTGATTCTATAAATTTACCATTCTTAAGTTGAGCCGAATATTCTGGAATAATATTGGGATGACCAGAAAGTTTGTGCAGTTTTTGCAATAGTTGACTTCAGGTGCTCTGAAATGTAACTGTTTTCAGTTCAAATCTTGAAAGCACCTGGTTATTTGATAACTAACATTTAACCATACATCCAAACCAAAAAGTTTGAAAATTAGGCTTGTTTTATAATATTGGCATAATTTTAAAGATAAATATACAATAAAAGAGAATATAATGCTGTTTTATTTCAAAAAAGGAAAAAATGCAGTGCAAACTTATAAAAAGTTATGTAAGGTGTACAGGGAGAATACCATCAAAGAACACATGTGCCAGTATTAGTTTGTGATATTTCATTCTGGAGATTTAACTCCAAAATGCACCATGCTCTGGCCAGCCAAAGTAGATTCACAATTACCAGGTACAGTAAAATGCTTAATTGATGATAATCCTTGTTGCACAATGAGGAAAATTGTATTATTGAATAAAGATATTTCCTTCCATAAAATAAACTTTCTATTTACATGCTAAAAACTGCATGAACTTTTTGACCAATCCAATACATTAAAAATTTATTTATTACCTTTATCTTTCCAATGTTCTGAGACTTCATGACTGTAATCTTTTGAAACTAAAGGAGAACCAATTGATAACCATAAAGTTACTGAGAATCCATTTTCAAATGGATGCCATATTGAATCATCACATAAAGGAAATAAAGCTGTAGCACATTTCCATGAGCACAGTTCAGTTTCTGAATTATCAAGTAAAGAAAGCCTTATTTTTAATGGATGATGATCCTCCACTTGAAGTAAATTGAAGCTATCATCGTCATAATTTTCTGACACATTAGAAATATTCTTTGTTGGAAAGATTATATATTCAGATGGTGCTTTAGGCAGAGATTTGATCAACCTATTTAATCCATTTAAAAGTGTATCCTATCAAAAATATAAATAAAAAGAAATAATATAGTAGCCTTCATTACGTTTCATATAAAATTTATTTAATTACTAAAATATAAAATTGATCAATAAAAAATAAAGTTACACTTGCACATAGAATTTTGTTATAGAATTATAAATCTAGTAGTAAGTATTAAAAAATTTTCAATATACTTGATATATTAAAATCTTACCTAATAGCACTTCAATTTTAAATATTAAAAATCTACATTATCATTACTTGCAAATTGTTTCCCTCAAAGTTTACTGCTTTATCACACAAGTCAAAGGTTAATACATAACAATAATTAACAAATTCAGATGTTTTCATGAACTAATTTGCTAAATAAATCTTCATTTTCTGCTTCTCAACTATGCTGTCAATTACATTTTTCTCAAATATATCATTACATATAAGAAAATGATTTTATATGTAATCTTGCAAAATATAAATCAAATAAATTAGGTATAATAATGTATTGAAAATATTGTTATTTTTGTATGCAAATAATTATATTAGAATTTGTGACATGAATGTTGTTACAAACCAAAACTAACATTAATCTACAATAAATGCAGCATTGTTGTAAAATAGTTTCATTTTCAATAACTGTTTCAACTATTTAATATTAAAGTAGGTTTAAATTTTATAACCCAGGCTTGAGATTACAACTGCTAGAGTAATGACTTTTTTAAATACCATCAATATAATCACATACTTGAATCTAATGTTAAATGACACAAAATGCTAAAAATTTTCATCTCTTCTCACTTTTTATTGACAAGACTATGTCTTGTTTATAAAATCGTAGTGCTGTCCTGGTAAAGCTTAAAGGTATAAAGGACTACTTGTCAGGAGTTGCAATTTGGCAGAGTATTAGGTCTCCAAATCATGTGTGCATGAAAAAAAACCAGACTTGTAGGTACTCGGGACCGAGAACCAAGTCAAAATAAAATACAAAATGGTGACACTCTTTCTACAAACAGACACTAGTGCAACATTTGTGCATGCATTGCTCGTTGGGAAGTTGGAAATGCAAATGTTGCAAAACTGAATTTTGACAAACAAATCTTTGAAAAAACCCATTTACCTGTCCTGTGTTATTCCCGACATGCTGACCTGAGATCTCTCATTTCGGCATCGGAATGTTTTTGAAACTAGATGGCGCTAGTTGTTATAATTTTATATTAAAACTAACTTTTGAAGTATAATTTTTTTTACATTTCTTAATATATATATTTTGAAAATTCGAAGTTTGGACTATTTACAAAAAGTCAAAATAACTTTTGAGTCCATCTTTATCCTTCTAACACTACCACAGAAGTAACAGTCTTAAAAAAATTTTTGCTTTGAAGAACTCTTCTAAAAACACAGATAAAAAATTTGGTAAAAACAACTTCACAAGGTTAAAAAAAGATCAAGCGTTTTACTTTGTTTTTCGTCACAACACACGTTCAAACATGTAAAAATTTCAGCAACGAGTTGTGTAATTTTTCCCCACGAAAAACACTAATCAGTGAGACACATTAATACAAAGCTAAAATTGTGTGTAATACCACCTGTCACGAGATTTCATTTTAAAAGTTTTATATTATTATAAAACGGAAGAAACAAACTCAGGATTCTCATTGATTTAGCGTACTNATTGTAAAAGTGTCAGATACCTACAAGAAAAGGCTGACACTTGATCTTTTTTAACCTTGTGAAGTTGTTTTTACCAAATTTTTTATCTGTGTTTTTAGAAGAGTTCTTCAAAGCAAAAATTTTTTTAAGACTGTTACTTCTGTGGTAGTGTTAGAAGGATAAAGATGGACTCAAAAGTTATTTTGACTTTTTGTAAATAGTCCAAACTTTGAATTTTGAAGAAATAATCCTGAGTTATTACAAAAATTGTAACTATATATTTTGTTTGTGCAACATAAAAAAATAATTTTAGATACAATAGCCATGATTATTTTTTCAAAAATGGGAAATTTTCGTTAGGCATGGATAAAAATTCAACCCGGGTCGACATGCAACAAAGAGAAATGAGAAATTTCGACATTAGACAGGTTAATTTCACCAAAAATACATTGTGGACAACTGCATGGTTGTGGCCATAGCCGGCGAAGTTTGAACGATTGTTCTCAAAACCAAAGAAGATTGGAGAATGAGACCTGCGGTGCGTGTCGAAGTGATCCCACTTAGTAGTGAGTCTTCAAGACATAGTCTTGTCCCAAATACAGCTTTGCCGTTTTACTTGTTTTAAAATATATTATTATAGAAATACAGTTCTGATGTTCATATTATTCATTTAACCTAATTCATGATATTATTCTTGTAAATATCAAGTGATCATAATTAAAGTACCCCTATTTAATGATGTTTTGAAAGATATTTATTAGTCCAAATTCAAGTTTCATAACAAGTTTAATAATTAGTTTGTTGTTATAATCATAATTTGTTTTATTATTATATTATTATAATTTTCTTAAATGGGTATAAATTATATGGTTATGATTTAGCTAAGGAAATGTCTACAGCATATCTAGAACTTTTTTATTAAGAAAAAAAATTCAACAACCTTAGAAGACCATATAATTTACTTCAACATGTTACTTTCCCCCTCCCGATATTTTGATAAACAAAGTATAATTAGAAAATAAATTATCTGCCATGTTTTAATAGACACACTCAAAATTATATATATTCTGAGCCTACTGGATCCATCTTATTCAACATTTCTTCTTTAAATGAACTGTCAAATCTACTGCTAATGCAAAAGTTACCTTTATTTTAACTATGATACTGTTAAAAATAATCTGTAGAAAACTTGTTTGTGTTGTGCGTATAAAAAACAATTATATGTAAGTTTATAACAAAAATAAACCTATGTATAATCAATTTTTATCATTTTATGTATAATTGCTAAAATTTTATTTTGTAATTTTACATATATACAATATTTCCATATTTTTATTTACCTATTTTATTATAATTTTAAACTTTCAGTAATTCTTATGTCTTGTATTTTTATTATTTTTCCCCTTTTTAATGTGTTATTATAGTAAAACCCAGTTAAGATGTTCCTACATGAGTTGTTTTCTATTTAAGTTATTCAAATTCTGTAGTCCCATCATTTCACCCATAACACATGTTAAAAATTCCCATATAAGATGTTACAAAATATCTGATCTGTAAAGCAATTTTTGTGTGTTTAAAATGATCACATCAGTGATCCAATAGTGTTTTTCTCAGAAGCTGCAAGCACAGTGATCCTATAGTCTCAATAGAAGAGTGGTGTAACATTCAATATTACTGATATTAAAATTACAGTAGAGCGTTGTTTACCCGAAGGTCGGTTATCCGAAGGAATTCCAGTCGATAAATTTAAATTTTTGCCAGTGCTGTGGCGCTGTAATCTTTGGCTATGTCTTCGGCTACTCAAATATTTTACGTTTTTGATACTAAATTAACTTCTGAAGTATAATTTTTTATTGTTTTTATATTTTTCAATATATTTATTTTGTTTGTACAAAATAAAAAAATAATTTTTAACGATACAATAGTCTTTGTTAGGCTTAACATCGACTAAAATTCAATGCAAAGCGACACGCAATGGAGAAAAATTTCAACACGGGATAAATTAATATATTTTTTCGTACATAATTGGTTATCCGAAAAATAAGTTATTCGAACAACCCCAGTTCCCAATTGATTCAGATAAACGACGCTCTACTGTAATACTGAAATTTATGTATTTAATTTAATGGTCTAATACTAACAAACTTTAAAATTGAAATTGTCAAAATTTAAATTACAAATGAAATTTGTTAAGTTTGATTCAATATCACAGTTAGCCAATTTCTAACTGATCTACTTGGATTCCCATCCATTTAACATTTGGAAATTGAAATTGATTGGCTGATAAACTTCAACTGTAAATAATTTTTTATTTGAATTCGAAAATTACTCCTCCCAAAATTTTAAATTTCTTGAATAGTGACTATTTCTATTTGTAGTTAAATTTTAATTTTAAAAATTCTTGGCATTTCAGTAGCTACTTTCAAATTAGTGATATTTACATCATGACATTTTGCAATAACACCTTGGAAGAAGAGTTATGTTCTTTGTTTTTGTTAAGTTATAGAAATGCAACACTTGGGCAAACTGCCTAAGGAGATGCCTTCTGGGAAGTCTTTTTAAGGGTAACTGGTCCCTATTCAGGCATTACACATGTGGAGAAAACCTGGAAAATTCCACCTGGCCAGCTTTTCCTGGTGAGGTGTGAATGCACAACTGAACTCCCAGTGTTCAGGGAATGGGATCGCTTGTCCACTGGTGGGCTTATGTTCTTTGTCAACACATGGAATTGATGCTATTATCAAATGTTGCCAGTGAATAATGACAACTTATTTGATCCTAGAGTTAAGTCATAAAGGTAAAAATTAGATTGCATCTATTTTTTATTTTTGAATAATACACTGAGTTTTATAGAATGACGAGTTACTGAGAGTCAAGTTTCTGGGACTCAGTCGTATATATATATTTTACATACTGTATTGGACCAAATATTATGCAATTTTTTCCTAGACTCTTACCTGTTAGAACTTTGCAGTAAAAACAAGAAGCAGGCCACTTTAGGCCAAAACTTTAAAAAGCTGTAGCTATTTCATCTCACTGTACCCCTTCTGTAATCAAATATCTGAATTAAAAAAAAAGTTTTTTTTGCCATTCCCACCTAAGATGTTTTCTCATTTAAGACATTTTTCCAAGACAGTCCCTTCAAAAATATCTTAACAGGGTTTTACTGTATCTGTTTTTTCATATTGGGATGCCACTTTCTGGTAGCCTAACTGTAGCTTTTGCTTGTGAATAATTTTTAAAAAATTTCACATAAAAGACTTCAGATATTTATTTAATTATAAATATTGCCATTGGACGAAAAATTTACAATAGAAGTTTTTAAGACATTTTGTTTATGTTTCAAACTTTTTTTGACATTTCATTAATCTGACAAATGACAGGCCATAAGTGTTTTTTTTTTTTATTTAAAAAAGAATAAGTTCAATATATAGTATTCTAATCAAATCACATAAGTAAGAAATAAAAATTTATATATTATACATTTATCTACAATCATACATACCACTGGAGCAAGTGAAACTTTGAAGAAGTTGAAAAATAACTGCAGTTCTTCTTCTGTTATTGAATATTGACCAACAAGAAAAAACAATTCCATTATGTATCCTTGAAGTTCTGTAGAATTAAAATACAAAAATAAAAACTAAATTTACTAACCTCGTGAACTAATCATACCATTAAGATATCTTTATTAATAGATAAAATTTATTTCATAAAATTAGTTACTACGCTATGAAGGCTTAATCATTGTATCAGATTATTTTACCATAAAAACAATCCCAAAACTAATTTTTTGATTAAATTTTGATATATATATATTTAAATATACATATACCAAATTAGCATAATTTGTTTGATTTAAAATATTCTATTATACAAGGTCTGTTCAAAAAGTATCGGACCTTTGGTCGGCAAAAATAAATTTATTGACTTTGAGGTACAAAACCCTAATCCCCTTCAAAGTAGTCTCCTTGGTAATGTATACACTTCTCCCAGCGTTCCTGCCATTGCTGGAAACACTGCTGGAACGCATCTTTTGGAATGGCCATCAGCCGGTCCGTCGCATTCCGCACGATGTCTTCTCTCGACTAAATTCGGGTTCCTTTTAGCGGCATTTTCAGCTTGGGAAATAGCCAAAGGTCACACGGAGCCATGTGGGGAGAGTACGGAGCGTGACGAACCACAGGAGTATTGTGTTTGGCGACGAAAGCCCGAATCAGATGCGCAGAATGGGCGGATGCGTTATCACGATGGAGCTGCCAAGTTTTGATCGACCACAGATCCGGTCGTTTGCGTCGCACTGTATCGGAAAGACGACGAAGGACCTCCTGGTAGTACTCCTTTGCGATGGTTTGGCCTTGTGGTGCGTACTCACGACACACCACCCCACGAGAGTCGAAAAAACTGTCAACATGACCTTTGATATTGCTGCGGACCTGCCGCGCTTTTTTTGGCCTCGAGGATCGTCCCCGAAAGCCTGCTGAATCTTGCGAATGGTTTACACTCGGGTATCGCCAAGGTTTTTGGCAAAATTTGATGTAATATCGCTGCTCACGTTGTTCAGTCATTTTCCAGCTTAGTGAAATCCGACGAGAGCGCACTACATGACCTCACTCATACGCCGATTACCAACGACTGACGCTTTCTGCAGGCGGGAAAAAATTCAGGGCTGTGCATGACTGTCCCCTCCACAACTCCACCGAAGGAGGCCTCTCTCGCATCATTGGTTTACGCGGAAAAAAATAAGGTCCGATACTTTTTGAACAGACCTTGTATATTAGGAGACTTTCTATTTTTACAACTAAAAATTGATTATTTAATTGTCATTAGTTAACTATTAATTCTAAATCATATGTATATCTAGAATTGAAAAGTAATATCAATTTAAATAAAATAATTTGTTAATGTACCTTCTCATTTTAAAAAAATTTGAAGATTAAAATCCTACTCTATATCAACCTTCTTTTCTCAATATTTTTAAAATTATTTGTTAAATTTAAAATTAACCTTAATCATCAAAATGCTAATGAAATATGAATAGTCCGATTACACAATTAATAAATTTCTAGCCTTAAAATAATGTACAAAAATTTGGTAATATTTCATTATTTCTTTAAACAATATTTTATAATACAGAAATTTACAAAAAATAATAAATAAATAAAGCATTACACTATATATAAATATCCAGTGTAATAGCCATACTTTCTATTTACTTGAGTTTATAAACATAAGATCAACAAAAGCTTTAATGTTTTTAACACTTCTATTACTAGTAATAATACGAGTCCGATATTAAAGGTACAGGCCAAAATTACACTAACATTTATGATTAAAAAAAATATTTAATACAGTCCACAAAAACTACACACTTTTGTTTATTTCTTGACATAATCGCCGTAAATGTTGAGACATTTATCCCAGCATGAGACACTAGTTTGAACATCCCTTCACGGTACTGTTGCTTGTCAAGTTGCATGAAGTAGTCTAGAACAGTGTCTTCCAATTCCTCCTGATTCGCAAAGCATTTCCCTAACAAAAATTTCTTTGAGGGTCCAAATAAATGAAAATACGAGGGGGGCTAAATCTAGACTATACAGAGGATGTTGCAGGACCTCCCAATTCCGCTGTGCCAACCAGTTTAGTTTGATTTGATGTGTGGAGTATAGTCCAGATTTAGCCCCATTAGATTTTCATTTATTTGGACCTTTAAAGAAATTTTTGGTAGGGAAATGCTTTGCAAATCAGGAGGAATTGGAAGACACTGTTCTAGATTACTTCATGCAACTTGCCAAGCAACAGTACCGTGAAGGGACGTTCAAACTAGTGTCTCATGCTGGAATAAATGTCTCAACATTTACGGCGATTATGTCAAGAAATACCAAAAGTGTGTAGTTTTGGAGGAATGTATTAAATATTTTCTTTAATTATAATGTTAGTATATTTTGGCCTTTAATATTGGACTCCCCTTGTATACAAAAACATTTGCTATGAATTGCAATAAACTGTAAAATAACCCCATTTATACCTTAATTCTCCAGTAAAAAAACAAAACTGACTAACGTTTTTGATCTAATACTAAGATCTTTATCAATTAATGTTCCAACATTTGGAATGCAAATCAAACAATGATGTATTACAAAACTAAAAAGAAAAATTTTAAAATAAAGAATTACTGTAAAATTTCATGCCTGCAGTATACAGTAAATGTGTAAGTAAATTATTTTACAACAATACTTTAAAAACCATTTTTCTGTTTAGCGATAATGTGATGTAACAGTTCAGTGTGAACAATACAATGACATAATACACAAAGGAATGAATTTCAACCAATAAATATCCATAACCTTTTTATAATACCACTGTTCAAAACTATGTTTATCATATACAATTTTATTGTACATAAAGACTTTCATTAAAAGGGAACATGCCATCATAAAACGCTTGCCATGGTGTGAGGAACTGAGTCCGAGCTGTATTATTGTTTTATTCTTATTTTTCTTTAATTCTATTTTATTTTGGGGTTTATGTTTAGTTAAGACAAAGGTAAAAAAAAAAAAAAAAGGAAAACCAACTCACCGACCAGTCAAAGTACCATAGGAAAACTAACATGCACTTGCGCTCCCAGGCCGGAAGTTTGAAAGAAGTTCCGCCCAAAAAGGGGGGAAACCCACATGCACAAAACGCAGAGGACTCACTAAAATCTTAATTAAATAAACATCCCAAACATGTACAAAACAACAAAAATAATACTGTAAAAGGATTTAGTGAAAAATGTCGGAAAACAAGTTGCCCAGGACAAGAAATGCAAATCTACTGTTAGATGATGTATAAGTATGTAAATGAGAAGAGTGTGGTTCCAGAAGTAATTGTGACATCACCTCAGAACAGAACATAAAATGAGTGAGACCAGAGACAACAATCGAGGTGAGCTCCAGACAGAGATTGAGGTGAATTCCAGAGCGAGAGATAAGAAGAAAGTCCTGAGAATAGCGATAAGTAGCGATTCGAAGGAAACTTGGATAAGGGAAAGGTTCCTAGTACTAAGGTGACGGATAGGATTGAAGTTTCGTAAGATTCATTGTACATAGTCTTAAGTGATTGATATTGTCGAGTCCTAGGGGAATAGTTAATAAGTATTAGAAGATAAATTACATTATTTTGTGTCGGGTCTTGTGAATTGCTTTTTTTCATTGAATAAATTATTGTTAGTTCTTACTAATTTGTACATAGTGGATAATTGAACTGAAATTAAAAACATTTGTATTCCTTACTGATCCTCGTACATTGTTACTTTCTGGAGCATGCATAAGTCCAGGCCTGGCATACTAACCACAAACCTGTGTAAAGTACTCGTTAGGTTAATGGTCGTATGTTTCAAGCAATAGTCCCGAACACATTACTGGCATATCTTTCTGTTTTGAATACAGTACTTTACAATGTGTATGACATGCTCTTTTTCTCCTTGAAGTTAATGCATACCCCTTTCACTTGTGACCTGAAAATCTCTAGTGTTTCCAGTGTTCTGATATGTTCCAACTGGTTGGTCTTTCTAATGATGGTGGCATCATGGAGATTAGCGTGTATATTGTTACCGTCGCATATATGGCAAGGGCTATAGTATGTTTCTTGTTAGTAATCTCATATCTATGCTCAGCTAGATGTTTACATAGGAATCATTTAGTAGATCCTATGTATTCAAGATCTTTATTGAATCCCTCATCTTTGATGGGTATTATATTATATGTATTTATTGAATCTGTCATCTTGATGGTTATAGCGTAATGTTATATATGCTGGAAGACAAGATTGGACTGGAGGTTTGGTTAGCATAATTGGCAATGCATCCGCATGGTAAACAGCAGTTGTAGTTTGAGTCCCACTCCAGGCCAATTCTTTTCATCCAGTTTAATCTAAAAGAATTATTTATAGATATAGTGAAACTCAAAATAAGACAGTATACATTATTTACTCAATGTTAAGAAATCTACAACAATAGTTTTATAAATGCTAACAGTGAATATCATTTGTATATCTGCCATATAAGTATGCTTTATACTGAATGAACCGAGTTCATCACAGCAAATATGTTAAACATGATAACCAATATAAATGTGATGTTGTTTTTCAATCATTTTATAACCAAATAGTAATTTTCTCGTTATAAAATTCTTAACATCCTAAAATCATTAAACAGAATAAATGATATTTTGAATAAAGTAAATATCTTACCTCTACATTCTGGTAATGATGAAACTAAAATACTTTCAAGATTATTAAAAATAATTTTTAATATACCCTGAAATATAAAGGAAGAGACATTCACTATTATTTTAATATAAATATTTAAANAGTTATGTCTAGTATCGCCATCTGGTTTTACGTGCGAAACTAAAATTTTCAAATTACGTCAATATTAAACGGTAGATACGTTAGTGGCGACATCTATATTTCAATTTGGAAACAATTATTCTTAATTTAATTTGCCTTGTATGTTTTATTATTATGTAAAATAATTCTATTTTCAAACTCAGCTTGACACAAAATGACAAATTGTTGCACATAGAATAATATCAATGACTGCCATTTTTCATTACTTTCACTATATATTTTATTGTAGTAGTCAAAAAATTTCAGAATGATTCTACATATTTCTTTGTTGCAAATAAGAGATCTTTTAGTTTGAGTGGAAGCAGAATTTTCTGAAAAATGTTTTAAAACATATTTTTACAACAATTCATTGTGCTACAAAATTCTTATGTAAAAAGTTATTTTTGAAAATAGCACTTATTAAATTTAATATAATACATAATTATAATGCATAAATATTGTAATTATTTCAAATACTTACTAGATAAATTTTCTTCTATTTCAATATCAGCATCATATCCTTCATCTGCAATATCAATTTCTTCACTTGATTCTGAAGGTAAATGATATTCTTGTTCATAATGAAGAAACTAATGCAAAAGAGAATAAGAAAATTTATTTTTATATGGCACTGTAAAGAAGAAAAAACTAAATTAATGTTTTTATTTACAAATTTCTTTTATTATGTAATGTTAAGTTTATTATACAGGTATCCCTTGATTAACATGTTAATTAATCCCTTGATGCTATGATGGTATACATGGCTACCAAGTATATCAAAATAGCATTAATCAAATACTGTATCTATGTTAAGTAAAGGCAGCTGGTAAAGCCATGTTAATCAAACATCTGCAATGTATATAATGGGATTGCCACAATTAATTTTGCATGTTAATCAAATGCTGTGTTAAACAAAACCATGTTAAGCGAGGGATACTGTATTTTTATTATATTAATTTTTACAAAATCATCAGAAGCATTACTTAGAAGAATGTTAATGTTCTTCCTTATTGCCAAAATATTTTGATAATGTGCCAAATTTATCACTGAAGTATTGTAATCCATACATACATCATATGTTTAGAAACATATTTATCTAAATATATAAAATTACTTGTCCTGACTGACTCACTGATTGATTCATCATCGCCCAGAGCAAACTGCTGAATCTAAAGAGGTGAAATTTGGTACACGGTTAGGGTACGTCATGAAAACACATACTAAGAAGGGATTTTTTGAAATTCCCCCACGGGGGAAGAAAGAGAGCATTAAGGCTTAACCGGAAGAACAGCTTCTACTGTACTATTTTAGATGCGATTTTTTGTTTTTATCTGCGTTTTAGTAGGGTACACCATGAGGCATTCTGGTGTACCCTATCTGGTACATAGGGTACATCAGAATGCACACTAAGAAGGGATTTTTGGAAATTCTTCCCATGGAGGAGAGGGAGAGGATTAAGGCTTAACCAGAAAAACAGATTCTACTGTACTGTTTTAGATGCAACTTTTTGTTTTCAACTACGTTTAGTCTTCAGTGAGTACTTAGGTGTATTAAATTGATAACATTTCAGACATTGTTATAAATATTTTCATATATTTTCATATATTTTGATTTTTTAATCAAATGTTCGAACCGTTTTAAATTTGAATTTGTTATTGCATATTGGTTCGATTATAGAATGACTGTAAACATTCCAGAAAATTGATCAAATTGAAAATAGTTTGTTTGATTCTTAGCAATTCTCATCATTCTCAGTGGTAGATGTTATATAACAATTACTATGGTTGTTGAAATACTGAATATAAATGGGATTTGCTTGCAAAACCCCTGCGGGCAAATTCGCAGGTAACAGCTAGTTACCATATATAATATTAAAAAGCTTTAATGGTGAAATAAAATTCTCTCTTATCCTTATGAAAATATACTGTTAATCTTTTAATTATGAGTTTTGTATAGTAAAGCATGGGAAAAACCTACTGATAAGCTTGATCTATGCATAACGGGATATTTGGATAATGTATTATTCTAGTTTTAAAAACTGTCTTATCTGTCAGTTTTCCATTTTATGAAATATTTTCAATTTTATTTGATGAAAAATAAGAAATTATATTATACATAATTATCATAATTTTAATTAATTTGTTTAGAAAACTATTCCGTTATTTATATTTCATAATGTGATATTTTATTTATTATTTTATATATTTAAAATGTTTATCTTCAAATAATTACTACAGTGTTAAATCGGACATACTATTAAACAACAGACTCAACGTTAATAAATCTAGCAAAATTTAACAAACTTTAATAACAGACAAACATTTTTCACTACATTTAGCAGTCATCTTTAGGTTTTTCAATGTTCTAAAACAAAACAGTAAGACTGCTAAATGTAGTTTAAAACATTTCTTTGTTATTAAATTTTGTTGGATTTTATTGATGTTAAGTATATTGCTTAATAATGTTAAGTATTAAATTAAATTACTGCAATGTAAACAATTTAATCAACGGGTGTGTTTACTTTTAGCTCCGATCTCACCCCTAGCATGCTCAGCCTGTATACTTTTTGTTAGCTACCAATGAGCATGGACGGCGTTTACTTTTCGCACCTGTGACATCATTGCTAGCATTCCTAGCACACCGAGCATGCTAGCAATGACAACAAGCTTGAAGCTTGTTCAAAGATGGCAGCATCCATTACTGTATATACTTTTAGGAGTGTGCTAGTATGATGTCAGGCTGCGCTAGGTGTCAGCTCGGTGAGCTTGAAAGCTAGCAAAAAGTAAATGCACCCATAGTATCCAAAATTAATTTGTAAACATTTGCATTGTAACGTATTAAAGTTATACATAAATGTTTAATATGATATAATTTTCATTTGTTTACAGAAATTAAAAAATAATTGAGAAATAAATGATTTTGTCATACCACAATGTTCATAAAATAAAAAGAAATAAGAACAGTCTTTTAAGTGTTATCCATCTGGTTAATGCTAAAAACTACTTATGTGAACAACATCAAAAAGACAGTTCTTATTTCTTTTTATTTCATTGTATAATCATCATCATTAAATTAATTTTATAAACAAAATATTGAAGTTGAAATATTGACATAATTCTGCTTTCTCTAGATCAGAGATGGGCAATCTGCAGCCCACATTAGTATATTGTGTGGCCCACATCACACAAAATATTACAAAACAATATAATGCTATATAAAATAAAAATTTAAAATACTGACATCCAGTCATCTGTAATTATACTAAATACCAAGAGCCCGCTTCATATATATTCGATGCAACTAGAGTTGGTCCTTGAGTTAGTTTATTTTTGCATCTTTAAGGGGTGATAAAATTGTTTACAAATGCATATATACTCCCTTGGGCTTCATTTAGTCTTGAAAAAGGGGTAACAACCTTTTCAAGACTAAGGGAGTATATGTGCATTCGTAAACAATTCTATCACCTCTTAAAAATGCAAAAATAAACCAATCCAAGGGCCAACTCTAATTGCAAGGACTATAGTAATTTAACCTGACTTCACTGGACACTTCATATGCTCTAAAGTTTTATGAACACTGCTTTGTATCATTGAATTTAATTTTTTGGTTTTTTGCAAATCATATACTAATAATTTACTGTGGTTTATCTGAATTTAGAAAAAGGTATGTTAAATATTTGAAATTTTATGGAAATAGAATTTTTAATGTGGATTTTCGAATTTTGAATATCAAAGTTAGAATTTCTGTTTAATAATAAATGCTACTATTAATTTCCAAAATTGGAATTAAAAATGATTGAACTAGAAAATTATTAATGTTTTAAAAACAATTCAGACTTAGAACTGGACAGTAATAAATACAAAAGCCACATATGAGAACATTTCAACTTCGTGCTACTTTCAATGCTGGACTGACCTTGAGGTCACACATGGTTTTGTACAATAAAAGCTTGTTATAACTGTTATAAGCTTGATGACAAATATTCAGTCAAATATATCTGATATATTACATTTGCATCAATTCCAGCAGTCACATTAAGTACAGTATGCCTGCACCTAATGTGACCTATGTTAAGTTATGAATATTAGAATAAATATTTGAAATTTATCTGAATTTTTTTGTTTCATGTGTGGTTTGTGTCAGTTCGAAAGTTTCAAATGTGGCCCTTACATAGAAAAAGGTTGCCCATCCCTGCTCTAGATAATCAATAATACTTTTTTTTACCTCCATCATCAAGAAGGATGGAGCATGATGTATTCAATACAGACTGCCTGTGAAAAATTTCTGAGTTTTAGACTGACCAGATTTGATTCCAGATCCCACATCAATAAACGAACAACTTAACCATCTTGGCCATTCAAGCACCAGTTTAAGTGTTTAGGGATCATCACGATTATATGAAATATTAGATTAAAAAAAAAAATTAGTCAAGCTTTTTACATCCAGTTTGATAAGATGATATTATATAATGCAATAATTCTAGAAAAATATAAGCTTAATTTAAAAGTCAAAACCTATTATATTATAAAACTATAACACTATTATACACTGGTGGAAATTAAAAGTGTTACACCCACCCAATATTGTCGAAGACATAAGAAATTGGGACAAAAGAATCTATTTTTGAAGGGTATTGAATGATCAAAAATTAAATGAAGTACATACAGTGGTATGGAAATTACAAAGACATTTGTTATAAACTAAACACTATAGCAATTTTGCATAAGTTGTGAACTGTGTTATGAAACATGACTTTTTTTAGTCCACATGTTGTTGGTGACCAGCTATGCCATATCGACAAATGAAAACGCCATACACCTAAATGTCTGACTTTGAAAGAGGTCGGATAATTGGCATGTCAGAAATGGGAGCATCATATTACGAAATAGCCCGAAGGACTGGCCATAGTGCAATGTCAGTATAAAGAGTGGTCACATGGTGGATGCAGGAAAGGTCCAGTACTCTCAGGCCTGGCACAGGTCCATACAGAAAGACGATGCCACTTGATGACTGCCATATTGTGCGGATGGCAGTTGCTGACAGATGTGCGACAGCAGCACAGATCCGAGCAGTAGTTACTGCCAATCACCCCACAGACAATTGTAAACAGATCACTTGATGCTGGGCTGAGATCTTGGACCCCCATGCACTGTGTTCCCTTAACCAGATTTCATCGCCAACAATGGCTAACATAGTATGCTGCTAGACATAATTGGACACATGAATAGCGTACAGTTGGGTTTAGTGATGAATCCCGATTCTGTTTAAGCCAATGTGATAGTCGGCAACATGTCCACCAGCATGCTGGAGAAAGAGCCCATCCTGCTGTGATTTCAGAATGCCACTCAGGTCCAACTCCTAGAGTCATGGTTTGGGGGCAATCAGTTACGACAGCAGGACCGAGTTGGTGGTTGTTGAAGGCACAATGACCGCCTGCCAGTATGTGGACAGGGTGATCCATCCGGTAGTCATACCTTTCATGAACACCACCCAAAATGATATCTTCCAACAAATAATGCCTATCCTCATGCTACTGTCATCACAAGACAGGCCTTGCAAAGTGTTGCAATCATGGATTGGCCCGCCCAGTCTCCAGATTTATCCCCTATAGAGTATGTCTGAGATGCCATGGGTAGACAGATTATGTCTCATAGCATCCAGCACACACTGTACAACAACTGATTGCACAAGTTGTGCAGGCATGGAGAGATATACCCCAACAAGACATTCAAGCACTTATTGATTCAATGCCTGCAAGGATCCAGCAGTGTATCCATGCTCAAGGTGGGCATACCTCTTACAGAAACATGTACCAAACAGCAATAAAACTTTGCATAATTCATTTCATTTTGTGTTCATTTCTTCTGGGTATGCCCCTGTACATGTTTACCAAGTTTCATGAATTTCTATCAATTCCATCTGGGTGTAACACTTTCAATTTCCTCCAGTGTATTAATTTCTTATAAATTAATATAATAGACTTTATATAATAATCAATAAAAGAAAAAATACATTAAAAATAAGGTTAAGTAAGAAATTAAAAAATATATATATGATTAGAAAATAAAAACATTTTCAAATGCAAAAAGTTTGCTATTGTATTTTCTAATCTATGTCTCATTTTTTCTTAACATATCTTATTACAGATTCATTTATGATGTAAGTATGAGCAACTATAGCTGTTAAATTTCCTCTCTGCAAACAAATCTAGCAATTTCTTTTGTCTTCAACAAAATTAGCAATAGATTGTTTCAAAAATAATTTATGAAAAATGTAATATTCCAAATAAAGCAGTGTAATGATATAAATGGGGATCATCTCCAGAAAATGTCTTTTCATCGAATGTGACAATTTGTATTGGGGCTCAAAATATTCTATAACAGTCATCAAAATTAATGAATTCCCCACTTTTGGAAATTGTATATAAACATAATGAATAAAAATTAAAACTATAATCATAAATCATTTCTTTAAATATTTCTATTAGTATTATTAGAAAGATATAGGATTAGAAATTTGTAAAATATAAAAGAAACAACTTACTTTCTCATAATTTAATCTGTCAAAATTTCTTTCATTTGGACAAGCATGAATCATACACTGAAAGAGTGTTTCAAAAATTTGTTGCAGATTCAAAATGTCTTCAGGGAAATATTCTTTTAAGCTTTTTTCCAATATATAGTAAAATTTGTCATTCATCTGAAAGACAGTATTATTATTATTATTATTAAAATTTTTTTATCCAAAAGAATAAATACATAATGATATATATACAATCATAAAAATATATTATTTGAAAATTTATTTATACATTGCTAATGAAATTATTGTATTCATTAAAAAAATTCACATGAACATCTAGATAGAAATTTTATGTAAAATAGTAAAAAGCTGTATTGTACATATATAATGTATATTATATACACACACCTATCCCTCTTTTTAAGTGGTGGATATGTTTGGAAGTATAAAAAAGTACAGTATATGCATCCTGTAGAAAAATGCTTGAAAGGAGTCACAACTTCAACGTTATGTAAAAATAAGCAATTTACAAAAGAAACACAGGCTTTTTTATTCTGACATCATTTATCATTAACATTATTTCTACATAAATATAATGAATACAAGGTAGCATAGGAAACATAAAATCAAAATACAGTATTCTCTGATGTATTAATATATATACTACTGTGCTTAAAAAATATATATATGAACTCTTAATTTCAAGCAAAAGAGTAACTTTTTTTTAATAACAACATAATTTTGACAAAAAATTAAATTTAAAAATGTTCAAATAAACTGCTTTTTTTTCTATGTAAAAAGAGGATAGGTGTATAATAAATACTTTTAAAATATACACACATTTTTTTTACAAAAGTTGCTTATGTATTATATATTATTAATTATTTACAGAATTTCCTATATCACTTAATATATTGGCATCATTTAGCTATTAGTTTTTATTTGTGATCAAATATAATAATATTTATGTAATATCTTGAAACTGTTGAAAAGGTATAACACAATTAATCTAATATGTTAATTTGTTTTTTAATATATTAATTAATGTATGTATATTTCATTTCATTTCAAATTTGAAAAAAGTTTTCTGTTGTACAGTTCAAAAATTAATTTTAAAAACTGTAAATATTTTTCAATTCTATTTCAAAATGATTTTGAATCTTAAAAACCTCTGATCACATATAAAACTGAGAAAGCCAATAATAATTACTATTGGAACCCACACTTCTATTAAAGGTTTTATGATGATTTGTTTTTGTCTGTTCATTTACTTAATTCGTGAATTTATTAATCAATAATCATATAATAACTTTTAAGTTTTAGAATTCCACTCGTAATATACAACATAACATTAAAAAAAATTTTACACTAATATAGTTTATTAAAAACAAATACTTTTGATCATCTTAGAAATCCATTTTCATATTCAAAACACTACAGACAGAATTTTTAACTCGTAATTTTCAATTACAATCCCTAATATTTTTAAATTTTAAAGATGACTCCTGTAAGAAAGTTATCATCTACAAGATCAAAGATCCATGTAAATGAAAAAATTGCATGGCACAGAAAAAGATTCATATGTGGTTGAAGAGATTTAAGAGTGAAAAGAAAAGTCTCGAAGATGAAGAATACCTAGGCCAGTCCTCAACATTATGAACAGATGATAACTGTGCCAAGTGGATGCACAGATTCAAGAAAACTGTTTGATTACTGTAATTGAAACCAAATCTTGCATAAATATAAGATACAGATCAGCATATCCCATAGTCCACAATGATCTTGAATGTCACAATATCTGCACAAAATTGGTACATTGATAGCTTACATAAGAACATAAACAGAACCATTTGAGGGTATCTGATATGTTTCCAGAGGTTCAAACATTACAATGACAACTTGTTGCACAGAATAATCACAGATGATGAGACATGGATGTATCTTTATGAATCACACTTAAAATGATCAAGTATGAAGTGGAAACAGTCACCAAAAATAAGATCTATTTCTCTAAATTCAAAACTTAGGCATCTGTGAGAAAAGTGATGATCTGCTCTTCTGGAATTACAATGGTCCAATACTAGAACACTATGTTGAGAAAAAAACTACAATGACTGCAATATTGTGCAGATGTTCTGATATAAAAGATGAAGCTACTTGATTACATTCATACATACATAAACACCCCAAAGCCCTACATTTTTAGTAATATGCCATAATAATAATATCTTGTATTCAATGTTACTAATAGCATTTTTTAGAATTTAATTAAAAAATAGCAGTAAAGAAGTCTGATTTCATCTAGAAGTCATTTGGCATATTGTTTACATTTATGTTGAAAAATCATATTTGTATATTTTACACATATCGAGTTAGTTACATAACATTTTTTAAAATGATTTTAACTAAATTTATATCTAGTTCACTTCTTTATCATAATTCAGAAAATACTTGTTGAATGCTTTCTTAATTTATCAGTACAATTTTTAAAAAATCTTAACAGACAGTATTCTACAGTTTACACAATTTGATATAACAACAATATCACCTATTAAAATCTAGAACTCCATATACTCTTGATATTAATGTAAAATTTAATGAATTTTAATCATTATCAATAATTAATAACTATTAGTGTTGCATTAAAATCAAAGTGTTATTTAATATGTTCCCACATTTCAGGTCAGGAAAAGATGTTATACAATTAATTTAAATATTCTTAAAATTTTCCTAATAAAAATGTTTAAGATTACATACAATTGATTCTAAAAAGTTTATATAAATGACACATTTTCAACTTACCTGTAATTTTACAAGCTTTATGCATTACATCATGTCAAGAACAATTATTAAAAATGTTATAGTAGCAATCATCATACTATTAATTCCATAATGATGTAGATAAATGAGTATAACAGAGAATAAAAACTTGTGAAATAGAATGCAGTGAAAGCAATATTAAATAAATATTATAATACTTACACTTTACAATTTCCTAATTTGTTGTTGTTATTATTATTATAAACAAATAATTTACATAACAAACTTTCTAGAATTATTGTGAAAATAAACATTTTATTTACAAACTATCACAGTTTCAGAATGGAATTATTTACAAGATCTCATGATCATCCTTTATGTTACATTTAAATGAGTAGCCACAAAACTATTGGCTTTGTTGGGAGATAATAAGGATATTCAGTAAAGAAGCATGTGATGTGCCTCTTATCGTGTTTAGGTGAATAAAGGTTGTTGACACGAGGTCGATGCTGCCTTCTGCACTTACATGCTACACTAGGCATACTATCTTGGTATTTTGTCTACCAATAATAACGATAAAGTTAACAAAACAATGTTAGAAAGAAAAATTAGTCATATCTATGTGTATTAATGAAATTAACTTTTGACTTCTTAATTAGAGGAAATTATGCAACTTGAAAGCCTTTTGATAAGACCATACATTTCACTTTTGTCTTTTTCTCCTCATTATGTGACAATTTGCTTTCTCAGGATTTGAACGCTACCTCTTCCTATATTTCTTATGATCCATTATCCCTTTCTAGTGGACACTATCAGCAATTATGGTCAATTTTTTACAATCAGTCTGATAAATTTGCATTTATAATCCATTTGCTGCCTTATCGTTGAGAGAATTGGGAAGTGGCATCACCTGGGACTTTTATTTCTTTCATCGTGTACTAGCCTGTCATTGATAAGAAGCAACAAAAGACCTTTCTATCTTCCCATCTCTACTTAATTACCAAAATAATAGAAGGTATTTGTTTGTGGTACATTTCTAGTTTGTTTACAAGATTTAATATGAAATACAGTAGATCCCCCTATAAAAGCGTTTCCTATAGTTATGATTCCTATAAAAATTGTGGCATTATCCGTAAACAACGGTAAAAATAACTCCTANAATATTTTTATTAAAAACAGTCAAACCAAACTGTTTTAATATAGTTTTCTCTATTAATCTTATGATTCCTACTTGAATTATTTGTGAACTATCAGGAAGCATCTTTAATAATGAATTTAAAATAGAGTTAAAATTCATACAGCAACATAATCCACATTTCTGCAAAGCTTCTATTGCTTTTAAATTGATTTCATCAGATTTTGAACTTGTACGTATATTTAATAATAAATTACACATGATAGATACACAGCATGGAGGTGTTTTATTAATTACTTTGTGAACAGGTTGCAATTCTAGAATATCAACATGATGATCTAAATCTTCAATACAAGAAGAATAAAGAAGAGGCTTATGCAATTTTATATAGTATGAAAACCTTAATCTTTTTAATGATATTATTATATTTTTTATAATTCCAATTACTTTATTTGTAATATTACATACGATTTCATTTTTCCGTAATTCAATACAAGATATCAAATCTGAAATTAAGGATGAATTTTCATCATCAGAAAATACACTTATCTCTTGAATAACTGTTATTAAATTCTCATTATTTATTGGAATTTCAGTTAATTTCAAAATCCATAATAAAACAGTCATAATTATTTCCAACAGTGATATTATCATCAAGTCAACAATTTTCTTTTCTTCATCTTTCAAATCTATAATAGATAAAATCTTATGTTTTGCAATTGATATTAATATTTGTAATTCTTTTAAACTGTAAGATGAAGTTTTTGTTTCAATTTCTGTATGTGATGAGACAGCAATCAAACGTAATAAAGCTCTTTCTAAATTTATAATATCAAAATGAGACCAAGATTTTAACTGAAACTGTTTCAATTCCAAAAATTGTAAAGATTCCAAGGAGAAATTCAAAATCTGTTGCAATGAATTTAATAGTGAAGTTTGTCTTGCAATAAGAGCAATTTGAAATAGTATTTCAATCATATATATACAAAAATTTGGTAATGAAATTGACTGAAGATACTCGGAAGAATGATCAAATGATAATGTATCTATTCCATCTCCATTTTTGTCAAAATTAAGTAAATGCTCAAATTTTCTTGAAAACAGACTGTAATGCACTTTTTCAATAGGAGTATATGAAGAATTTGATATATTGTCTTCATCAGAGTTTGAACATGAATTATTATTATGAGAAAATTTGCTGCGTAAATGATTAGTTTTTACTATCTTTGCTTTATTTTGGTGATGTCTTTGAAATCTAATGATATTTTTCTCGTAAACATAATGAATTTTTGTTGATTTTGTTTTTTTTAAAGAAAATAATTCTTCTATATTTATGAATTCTTTTTTTTCATCACAAAAATCTGTAAACAAAATCTCAAAATAAATAATGTTCATGATTTGTAAAAATTTAATAAAAAATTAAAAATTATGACATACCATTTGAATTCAAGGAATATGCTTGAATCTGAAGACAGTATAGCCATTCACGAATCCCAAATAATAAATATATTATAACTAAATTTTACATGTATATAATTATCTCTAAATTTTTCACACATTTTTCAATTAAACTACATTAAACACACACATTTTTCAATTAAACTAACAAGAAACAATGTATATATCAAGTAAATTTCATTAAGTTTGCAAGTCATAATATCAACAAGTGGATTTAGAGTGATGTGCAGGGTTCAGTTCCACCCTCCTTTTAAGGGTTTTCCCAAGTAAAGCTGGGTACATCAGGTAGTAAAAAATTTTGTAAAGCATAATGTTTTTGCATTCTCTAGAATTTCTGGATCTCTATTGGAAATAGATGCATTTGTTTATGGTTTATGTTTCATCAAGGAAACATCTTTTCAAATTTAATGTATATTCTGAACAACATGTATATCCAATAAAACTAAACTATAAAAGCTATATTTTAGAAAAAAAACTTTTATGCAACAAAAATCAATGTACTATATTATATCAACAATTTGATAATACAATCCTTTTTTATTATTATTAAATCAAATCAACACTTGAATTTGGATGATATAAATTAAGATTAATAATAAAATTTAAAAAGTATTTTTTTAAAATAAGAAAGAAAGAGAGTTTTTTACATAATTGCAGATATTGCTTAATCATATAAAATAGAATTCTGTAGTAATCAAAAACTTAATATATATTTTAAACAAATGAAAATTATCTTACCATGCTTGAAATATTTTCATAGGAAAGCAAGTCTATGCAAACAACAAGAACTGTATGGAGTAATGTCATAACTGTTTTCTTAACAATCCCAGTAGTATTATCACATGCATTAAGATTTTTAAGTATAATTTCCAAAAAGTTAAGTATAATATTTATATTTGAAGATTTTATTAAGTATTTTCTGTAGAAAGGTATTCTACAAACTAAATCTCTGCATGTGAACCACAAATTACATAAGAAGTTTTGATTACATTCTAAGTTTGAGGATTGATCTTCTAAGTAAATATTTTTAAGAATATCAGATTTAAAATCAGCATTAAATAGTTTACATGAAAAATGCAATAAACACATTTGATTTGTAGTCTTCAACAACAAGCTCTCAAATATAAGCAGAGAACTTTCAACTGTGTTATCAGAATATTCTTGCAAAATATTAACTGGATTCAATTTATTGTTTTTGTCATAATATGTTAATATTAAACATTTTAATGTTTGTAATGATACGTTTTGTAAAGAAGAATATGAGAAAAGAGAATATAAATATTTTAAGCCTTCATTTTTTAAGAACAGTTCTGTTATTTTTGAAGATTGTAATAAGGATGATAGAGAAACTACACAATATTCTAAGGCAACATTATTATTGATAGAAGTTTCAGTTTTATCAGAAAGATAATGAAAGGCTGGAAAAATAACATGATTGAATAATTCTTTTTTCAATTTTTCATGTCCGACGATAACCATATCCAATAAACTACTTCCAATAAGTAAAGTCAATGATGAATTTTCAATTAAATAATAATAATATAAGAAAAAAGAACATTCCTGATATTGAATATTTTCACTTTTTCCTTCACAGTGAGAATTTACACACAGAATTCGATTAATACAAATTTCACATTTAATATTTTTATTAAAAACAGTCAAACCAAACTGTTTTAATATAGTTTTCTCTATTAATCTTATGATTCCTACTTGAATTATTTGTGAACTATCAGGAAGCATCTTTAATAATGAATTTAAAATAGAGTTAAAATTCATACAGCAACATAATCCACATTTCTGCAAAGCTTCTATTGCTTTTAAATTGATTTCATCAGATTTTGAACTTGTACGTATATTTAATAATAAATTACACATGATAGATACACAGCATGGAGGTGTTTTATTAATTACTTTGTGAACAGGTTGCAATTCTAGAATATCAACATGATGATCTAAATCTTCAATACAAGAAGAATAAAGAAGAGGCTTATGCAATTTTATATAGTATGAAAACCTTAATCTTTTTAATGATATTATTATATTTTTTATAATTCCAATTACTTTATTTGTAATATTACATACGATTTCATTTTTCCGTAATTCAATACAAGATATCAAATCTGAAATTAAGGATGAATTTTCATCATCAGAAAATACACTTATCTCTTGAATAACTGTTATTAAATTCTCATTATTTATTGGAATTTCAGTTAATTTCAAAATCCATAATAAAACAGTCATAATTATTTCCAACAGTGATATTATCATCAAGTCAACAATTTTCTTTTCTTCATCTTTCAAATCTATAATAGATAAAATCTTATGTTTTGCAATTGATATTAATATTTGTAATTCTTTTAAACTGTAAGATGAAGTTTTTGTTTCAATTTCTGTATGTGATGAGACAGCAATCAAACGTAATAAAGCTCTTTCTAAATTTATAATATCAAAATGAGACCAAGATTTTAACTGAAACTGTTTCAATTCCAAAAATTGTAAAGATTCCAAGGAGAAATTCAAAATCTGTTGCAATGAATTTAATAGTGAAGTTTGTCTTGCAATAAGAGCAATTTGAAATAGTATTTCAATCATATATATACAAAAATTTGGTAATGAAATTGACTGAAGATACTCGGAAGAATGATCAAATGATAATGTATCTATTCCATCTCCATTTTTGTCAAAATTAAGTAAATGCTCAAATTTTCTTGAAAACAGACTGTAATGCACTTTTTCAATAGGAGTATATGAAGAATTTGATATATTGTCTTCATCAGAGTTTGAACATGAATTATTATTATGAGAAAATTTGCTGCGTAAATGATTAGTTTTTACTATCTTTGCTTTATTTTGGTGATGTCTTTGAAATCTAATGATATTTTTCTCGTAAACATAATGAATTTTTGTTGATTTTGTTTTTTTTAAAGAAAATAATTCTTCTATATTTATGAATTCTTTTTTTTCATCACAAAAATCTGTAAACAAAATCTCAAAATAAATAATGTTCATGATTTGTAAAAATTTAATAAAAAATTAAAAATTATGACATACCATTTGAATTCAAGGAATATGCTTGAATCTGAAGACAGACAGGAAATAATGATATAACTAAATTTATTAACTCTTTTGTACATGTTACACCCTAAAAATATAAATTTAACAGATATCAATTCTGGATATTAATCTTAAAATTTATTATTTTTAACAATATTCTTACCTGCATTCCAATATTACTTAACAGAAACAACAACTTCCAACCTCTTCCTTTTAATAAATATTCATGTAGTTTGTCAATTATCTCTGTATCATCATCTGAAATATCTGTTTTCATGTTATATTCACTTGATTTTTGAATACTTTGGCATATTTGATGAATATCTGACATAAAATGATGAACAATAAGACTTCCAACCATAGACCAATCTCTAAAAGAAAAAAAAAATTTCTAAGATAAATACAAAATCTACTGACATTTTATAGACAACCCTAATTTATGATACTCAATTTTAAACTTCCATTTACATCAAAACTTTATGACATTCTAATTCTTATCTGAAGCTTGCATTTACAACAATATAAACTGGATATAGAATAAATAAAAATTTTTATGTATTTATTTAAGCCATACTTAGCTTTCTTAAACTGTTTACTAAAATTATAAATATTGTATCTTAATTTTTATTGAATCGACAACTTTGAATATAGTATCATTAAAATAAATGTATTTTTACAAATCATTTATTATGTGAGATATGAAAGGGTTTTCGTTAGCCTACTAAGGCAAACACCCAGATAGAAAAAAAAAAGAGAGCAGTAGATGCTGAAAACACAATTTATTTTGTGTGATATAACTATTTACAAGATCAGTAACAGATGCCAAATCTAGGATGGATACTCTGGCAGTAACCCAAAACACAATCGTCAGCTGGTTAAATACAAAGTATTACGATGCGTACAAAAAACTCGCAATTACATATTGCCCAAAAATTTCCTTTAACTAATCCTTAAAACTAACATATACTAAAAGAAAGCAGAAACAGACAATAGGTAATGAATGGAGTAAGATAGATATAGAATAGGTAAGATAGGAGGTGAGAAGAATCGAAGATGTCAGACAGAATAGAATAAAGAACCCAGGTTGTATGAACATCTTGCTGTTGTTGTGAGGGACCACGTGGAAACTTCCTGAGGCTCAAAAGGCACTTTCATTCACTTTTCCTTAGTCCAAGAGGGTTTCTCTAAATTTTCTAGTCCAAGTTGTTGTTCATCCATCCGAGCCGGAAACTTGTCAAGTTGAGATGACAGCTTCAACACCATAACATTGGTACAAGTTCATGAGTCTCTCTTCCTCAAAATTGGCTTCACACAACTCTCAGGTACTCAACAACTCTCTCTATTTTCCTGTTCGTCCTCTTGCTATGAGGACCAGCTAAAAAGTCTCTCTTTCCACATGTGCCCTAAGGAAACTTCACATTCATTGTTTGACAATTCCAGGAATTGGCCATTACCTCCAAGGGGAAGAGTAATTAAGAAGATTAGAAGGTTCTAAAAGGCAGACAGAATAAAGAACAAACAAAATATGCTAAAGACTATGAACTAAACTTAAATCTAATATGGCATACAGCTACAATTACAGCATCTATTTTTTAATTTTTGTTTCTAATTAGTTTAAACTTATGAATCTACTTTAAGTTTAAATTACTGAAGACAAACATATGTTCATTTTCAGTAGTTTAACCTATCTGATATTTAAATTTTTCTCTGTTGCCTGTGACGCCATGTTGAATTTTTGTCGATGTTAAGCCTAACGAAAATTACATGTTTTTTAAAAAGCAATTGTGGCTATTTTATTGTCCAAATTTTTTTTATTTTTCATGAACAAAATAAATGTATTAATAAATATAAAAACAAAAGAAATTATATTTTCAAATTTAGTTTTAATATCGATATTGTAATGAGATATCTCGGGTCAAATGCTTGAGGTCAGAGGTCATGACCCTGAGATATGTCAGGAATAACATGGGATAGGTTAAATTTATTTGAATCAAAAATCTCATTTGACTGTTTTTTTAAATGGGATAGTCTGTTTTTTATATACAGTAGTAGAACTCCAATTATCTGAATACAAGTCATTCAGTTATCTGAACAAAGTTTTCTGTTTTTCACAGGCAAAAGAAAGTTTCTTGAGAAGTACCCCAGGCCATGAAAATGATAGAAAGGCACTCCTCTGTCATTATACCTGTAAATAAAGGGTGTCAAACAAAAGGATCTCATAAATGGTAGCCAAATAATAAAATATTAGCCTTAGAAGTTTCTATAAGAAATCAGAGATGCACAGTACACAAAGAAATCAAGGACTATAAAAAATCATGCTGACCACAGAGACTTTCAGCATACTTTTTGAAGAATGACAACTAGATCAGGAATATAGAGAAGACACTAGGAAGTCATAAAAAAAAGGAAAGTGTATCCTCAAGAATTTTCATCATGATACTATGTACTGCTTTTGTGTTGCTTGTGAATATTGTGGTAGTTACTTTTTGGAGGTGCCCACATGGCATTACCTTCTTAAAGTGACAAGGAAAATGTTGCTTTTTTTTAAAAACTTAATTTAAAAAACTGTTGATACATGTTAACTGACACTTGAAAGTCATTAATGACAGACAATCTGAAAAAAGAACGAAATAAACTCTAATCAGGTCTGAAAGACTCAGAAGAAAATGCTCAGAATGAAGAAGTCAGTGAATTTATAAACTTGTTTCAATCAATCCCTAGATTTGAAGAGTATGAAAAAATGCATATAAATGATGAGTGATAATGATTTCAAGTTTTAACTCACAATGAGACTGTGTCATGTGTTAGTGAAACAGGGAACTCATAGAAAATGAAACAGACAAAAGAATGAACAAAACAAAAGTAAAATGAGTTGATGCATACTAGGGCATTTTCTGCATTAGAGACATGACATGGTCAAAGTCTTCTGGCTTAGATTGATGTTCATACCATGTCATTACTATCTCTAATGCAGAAAATGCCTTAGTATCTCAACTATTTCTCTTATTAAATCAGGAATCAATTATTACTCTATCACCAATCAATCAATCAATCAATCATTTCCTTTCAATAACAGTAAAGTATTACTCTATAATAATCACAATTTTTATTTTATTATCCTGATGCAATGCATTCATGTGAATTTTTCTAGTGTATGTGATTCAATATTTAAAATTTTCATTTATCCAAACCACTTCTAATCCTATTACTTCAGATAATTAGAATTATACCATATTGAATTTTAGTAAAATAAAGCATTATTAATATTTGCAGAATTAATTTTGAGATTGGGTATCCTTGAATCTAAATAAGTATTTTATTTGTATAAGACTATAAATGTGAAATAAAACTGTACTTTTGAGGTTAAGTTCCATTTATAATAAGTTTAATGATTTTGGTTATATTAACAGTTAGTTATTATAATGTTTAATTAACAAAAAGTGTTATTTTAGAGAAACTCAGTTACTTAATTATCTGAAGTATTTTAAATCTTGATAATTCTTTTAGTCATATACATAGTTACAGATAAGTTATACACAGATATAAACCAAACACTGAAATCTTTTTNTTTTGTAAATAGTCTGAACTTCTAATTATAATTTGGAAGAAAAATATCCTGAGTTCATCATGCATTTGAAACTATATGCAAATTAAGATAACTCGTATCCACCACTAGAGGGCTTGAACCTGATACAAAGTGTATAAAACTTGACAGTTTGGTGTGAAGATTTACTTTGATTTTTAATGTTATAGGCGTCAGAACCTATAATGAAAGGCTGACGTCTGATCATTTTTAATAATGTAATTTTTACCTATTGTTAATTGTTTTTAATGAAGTGATTTCTTCAAACAAATGTAAAAGGTGTACTTCTATGGTGTGTGAAAAGGAAGAATTGATAGACTCAAAAATTAATTTTTTGTAAATAGTCTGAACTTCTAACTATAATTTTGGAAAAAATAAAAGAATTAAATTAAAATTAATTTTATTTACAAAATGTAGACACTATTTACTCTAATGAAAATTTTATAATTTATTAATTAATCTACAACCTTATAATACTCCAAAAAATCATGATTATGTACCAATATTTTAAATAGAAATTTTTAAACAACTTCAAGCCAAAATTTTCTTTTAAATTAATTAATGTAATACAAATGATGTAATGCAATGCAAAGATTTTTATTACTATTTTATTTATAGTCTTCCTTCTTAATTAATTTATTATCATTAGGGTATAAAAATTGTTTATGAAAGGGACACTTCATAGACTATAGATATTACTGTGGGATGACATTTCACATTTTAACTTAGAACAATTAGAATATAATGAAATCATAAAGTTAGAGTTCTCTCTGAATGGGAATTTATAATAATGATATTACCCAAAATCTTCATAATTAGATTCTTTTTCAGTAACTCTCAGATGTATAAATCTCATTAAAAATTCATCCAGCAGTTTCTGTCTTTCCTGTTATTAAAATAAACATTTAATAAAAATAAAATTTATACAAATAAACATAGGTACATTCAAACATTTCTACAAAAAATATTCAAAAAAATTAGAATAAATATGTATTACCTCTACATATTCCTGAGGAGTTTCAATAAATTTTAACCATATGCTTCTTAATATTTCGTATTTATTATCCATTGTAAAATTCTAAAAATAAATATTAAGAAATTTATATTAAATTTATCGAATAAAAAAAAATCACAAAATTATATATTATTTAACTGTTGATATTTCATTGTTATTGTGTTTCATATATGCAGTGGTGCTTCGTATAACGTATGCCTCGAATAACGGACGCTGCGAACAATGGACTTTCTGTTTGGCCATTATGTGACTCGAGCAACGGACTGGCTGCGAACAACGGACTTTCTGTTCAGCAGTCGCATGAGGCGAACAACGGAATTTTTGCAAACAAATGTGAATGATGTTTTCACTCTTTTGCCATTGCCAATGACAATCTGCTGTTTTTATAATATATTACTATTATTAGAATATATTATTAGTATATCTGAAGTACAGAGCTCCCATTGGGATTTGGCTTGCTCCCTTGTTTATTATGTACATCACCTCAGTGCAGGGTATTTACATTTATTCAAGTGTTGTGCAAATCATGGCTTCTAAAAAAACAAAGGTGATTTCAATTTTAATAAAGCAAGAAATCATCAGAAGGAGTGAAAGCTGACACAGACTTCTTTGTCAAATAGGGAGAGGTTCGGGAGTTTACGAACACTCACTATCTAAACACAGCTGTAATTCCATGCAGATCATCCTTGCCGTGTGTGGGCAGGCATTGTCTTCGTGTATTAGCACACATTTATGACTGATCAGTGCAGGATGTTTCTCCAGCAATGCAACCTGTAGCTTTTCCAACTGTTGACAGTAGAATCTACTGTGACTGTTTGGTTTGGTGACAACAATTCAAACTGGATGATACCATATATATCCCACCAAACACACATCATCACTTTCTGTGGGTGGAGTTCTTGTTTTCTCACTGTACCCACCCCACCACCTTTAGGTGCCCACTGCCCACTGGTGTTTGTGTTTAACATTGTGGTATAAGATCCACTTTTTGTCTCCTGTCACCATTCTGTATAAAAATGGCTCTCTTCTATGATAGATCAATAGAAAACTGCAAACATCCCCACACTGTTGCCTCTGGAAAGTTCAGTTCAGCTGCTGTTCAGGTATCAACTCATGGGGTGTCAACTCATTTTTGCAGTTTGGACACACAACTAAGGTCCTGCAAATGCCAGTGAATGGCTGAATGGATCAAATGGAGTGACGTGGCTAATTCTTCCACCATTTAAAGTAGATTTTCCTCTCAACAGTTGCTCACAGTTGTCCAGCTCAACAGGCCTTCCTGCTCATAACCTATCGGTAAGGCTGGTGTTTCCTGCTCAAATTTTTTGAACCATCTTTGACCATACATTACATACCATACATACATACCATAGCAGCACAAAACATTAATGTTTTGTGCCGCTAAGGTTGATGAACTCACACAGCATAACATGCCATATGTGTTCTTATATGTGTTCTTCAGACATTGTAATATTTAAACATGTTTCACTGACACAAATTGCTGTGGACTAATCAAATTCTGTGCACGTGTACATAATGAACTGTCTAATCAAGCACTAGTATCATAACTTTGGTGCAGTTCATAATTTGTCCATCATATGGCATTGATTACACAGATATTCAAAAAAAAACATTACTTATGGGATGACCTGATAGCTAATTCCGATGCTAACAAGAATTATATCCTAGATTTTGCTGAAATTTTAATACATTTTAATACAGTCTTCCACTAATGCATGGTAACATAACTCATGCCAATGAGCATTAATTTACTAAAACTTATTGTTTAAACTTCTTTGTGTGCATTATACATTGAGTTCTACAAACAAATCATAATGAGGAGACAAGGAGCAGTGAATAAAGCACCAGAGTGAGAAAAATATACAACAACTGGGTGACAGAAACAAAACATTTTTGCATGCTAAGCAGGCAAAGATTTGTTGAAGATAGTATTTATTTATTCATTCATTTTTTGTAAAAATTGGTAAAATAGAAATATATATAAAAATATAAATATGATTAGGATTTATGAGGTACAAGTTATAAGTTATGAACTAGGAGTTAAAGAGTTATTTCCAACCTAGAAAAAAGGAAATGTTTTGAAACAACGTACTGTAGCATTGTTAATTAATTATTTTAAGTCAGAAAGGTTAACAAAGCATATAAAAAGAAGCAGCTCTTTGAAAAAAATTCTTTTGAAGAACTTTTATACTTTTTTGTTTTAATTTATGTTTATTTAATGTGTAATGTAATGTATTTTTAATTTTGTGTAATTGTTGTCTTTGTTTTTATGTATACTTTTTGATTTTGGAGTAGATATCAATTATCCTTCAGGACTTTTCTATTTACTTGTAAAAATAAATAAATAAAAGTATGTAACATGTATAAATATGTTTGTTAATTACAAAATCATTATTTTAACTGATTTAACTCATTTCTTAAAAAAATATTATTTAAATTTACCAGGATCAATAGAAAAGAATAACAATTTTTACAAAGAAAATAAAATATTTTGGTATATAATATAGTGGTAGCCCAGCTTATGGTGTCCCGTTGAGAAGACCATTCTGTTTTTTGCAGCTTTTTTCAAAATTTTTTTCTAAAGTGCACAGTTCAGTGAATTATTAAAATCATTTGTGTATTTTTAAACCAACAACTATAACTAGAGAATCAATACTTTTCCTATAGTTATTTAAAGATCATTTCACACTGTATACATACACTGTATTTCCTCAATTAAACTTGTATTTTTAAAACATATATACATATGTATTAAAACATCCCAAGTTTTATTTGAAGACCTAGAGATTTTTTTGAGGCTGTGGTTTATTGCCTGCCAGGTAAAAATTGAAAAAAGTACTTTAATTAATCATATATTTTCCAAACTATCAAAACCATTTATGAACCATATTATAGCTACAACATATGAAATAATGACTGTTTTCAACTTCCAATTTGGTTAATATGTTCTCATTTGTCTGCTTTGATGCTGTGTTGTAGGGCAAGAATCTTCTGGTTTAAATACTCCATCCCTTTTGGAAGATGATGATGAGTGATGAGTTTGAACAAAAGTTTTTCTAGTCATCCTTTGGCTAATAAGCTCTCAACTTATGAACTTGATCGTGACTTCCTCTGTTCAATATTCATACTGTTATTTCAAAAAAAGTTTCTGTCAAGCTTGGAATAGAAAATGCTGTCTGACCACAGTACTACTATTCAAGCCTTTAAAAATGCAGTATAATTTTAATTTTCAAATATTTTTGGTCATCTTAAACATCCTTCTTCAGAATAAAAAGAAACAAATTTCAATTTAAAAATAAGAACAAAAGCTGGAACATCCTCTGGAACAAGTTGATTTTGAATGTTAACATCTTAGAAAAACAAAAATTTAAATGCACATAGACATGACAAGTGCAGTTTTCAGAAAAATGCTGTCTGACTCTAGACTCTATTTGAAAAGGTTTTTAGTTAAACTCCTTATCTGTCACTCTGTACAGTGCAATACTTCAACATGTTTTCCCATGCTTTTCAACTTACAGTTTATTTTAACAGCACTTTTATTTTCCAGGGTTTATTTGAATCTTGGAGTATAATTGAGGAAATACAGTATATATAAGCAAAAAAAATATATTAAAATATTAAAGTCAGAAAAACGTTAACATTTTCAATGAATAGTTTTTAAATAATACTTACATTTTTAATAATCTGGTCTTTTCACATTTTTCATAATTTTATATTTTCTTATTTCATGATACCTCATATGAAAAGTAAAAAATATATATCACTATATACAAAGTAAATAAAAGAAAATGCATCTAGAACTGAATTAAGTAAATGTAAATAAAATTTCTGCCAGTATTTCAAAATTATTTTAAATAATACAACTTTAAATTTTAATAATTTAGAAAGCAAGTATAATTGGCAATGTGTTATCAAATTTTAAATAATAATTACATGTTTGAATAAAGTTCCAGGTTATTCTTTCTCAAGATTCATAAATTATCTAAACATTAAAATTTTTCTTAAAATGCAAAGAATTTATCAAAAATAAAAACTTATTTGGTTAATACATTAATTAATTAATTAAAAAAAAACTGTATTAAAACTTATCTTTGTGTACACTCTATTCAAAGGATGTAAAAAACGATTTTGCAAAGAAATGTTTTAAATCCAAAATTATCCACTACAGGGTAAATGGTACAGCAAGCAAAAAAATGTGATATGCATAGCCACATGGAATAGAGTGCAGCCAAGAGTGGATATAAAAAATGCCGACAACTAGCAAATGCCATTCTTATCAGTTACAACTATGATGGCATCACTTTGTTGGAGTAATTGTGAAGCTCTTTTATGAAAATCAGAGTAATGCTGCAGCTGCTGTTCATGAATATTGAAATCTGAAGAACTTGCATATATAAACATCCAAAAACCCAATGTATTAATACTAAACCAAATGATCACTGTAATTAATTGGGTTATTTTACACTACAATTAATAATTATAAATTATGTAATTTGGTACTGGAGGTGGATGTTAGAGGCAGTCTCTTATTGAAATGAATAATTATAATAATTGAAATTTATTAAATTATATCTCTAAAAATCACTCTGTACACACACACACACACACACGTGGAGGCAGTCAGTCTATTACACTGTAATAGACATCTATATTTCATATTGTTATAAAAAAAACCTATTATATCTTATATTATCAATTATTATTTTATATTTTTCATATGACTATGATACATCTATTATAATTTTTATCAACATTTAGTTATATCGTGTGACAGAAAAATCAGTTTATATTGATAAATTTAATTTCTTCAAAAGAAAAAAAAAAAAAAAAAAAAAAAAAAAAAAAAAAAAAAAAAAAAAAAAAAAAAAAAAAAAAAAAAAAAAAAAAAAAAAAAAAAAAAAAAAAAAAAAAAAAAAAAAAAAAAAAAAAAAAAAAAAAAAAAAAAAAAAAAAAAAAAAAAAAAAAAAAAAAAAAAAAAAAAAAAAAAAAAAAAAAAAAAAAAAAAAAAAAAAAAAAAAAAAAAAAAAAAAAAAAAAAAAAAAAAAAAAAAAAAAAAAAAAAAAAAAAAAAAAAAAAAAAAAAAAAAAAAAAAAAAAAAAAAAAAAAAAAAAAAAAAAAAAAAAAAAAAAAAAAAAAAAAAAAAAAAAAAAAAAAAAAAAAAAAAAAAAAAAAAAAAAAAAAAAAAAAAAAAAAAAAAAAAAAAAAAAAAAAAAAAAAAAAAAAAAAAAAAAAAAAAAAAAAAAAAAAAAAAAAAAAAAAAAAAAAAAAAAAAANCAAGTGTTATGTTCTTAACTACTCCACAAACACTTTCGACCTCCACCGAGGTCTGCTTCAGGTGGTGACTGACCATGTTTCTTCCTGACCGTCATAACGATGTTGCCAGAGATGTAAATAATCATGCGCATCAGGTTTCACCCCTCTGTCCCTGTTCCTGTTCGAATTCCTCGAACAAATACCTCGACGCCCGTGCGATCATTTCACCATCTTTGTTGTTGATGCAGGTGCCCCAACAGTTAGCTTTATAAATCTCCCAGTCCTTCAGGGGTCAGATGTGATCGGTTATGGAGGGTTACGACAGTCAGTCACCACCTGAAGCAGACCTCGGTGGAGGTTGAAAGCGTTTGTGGAGTAGTTAAGAACATAACACTTGTACAAAAAGGTTTTCGTGGATTATAAAAGTAAAAACTAAATATTTTGACAATTAGAAATTGCTTAAATACTTATGTATTAATTCTACTGAAATCTAACATACATATATAGTAGAGCATCAAGTATCCGACCCCCGATTAACCGTCACATCGATTAACCGACCATTCTAGTCGGCAAATTCAAATGTCCGCTGGTGATGTGGCGCTACAATATTTGGCTATGTCTTGGCTACTTTAATAGTACTTTACATGTTTTAGCTGGCAACACTGGCTCGACGATGAAAGGGAGCCAGTATTTAAACGAGGCTTAATTTTCTAATTTTTAACAATACAATAGCGATGATTATTATTTTTTAAAAAAATTTGATAGGCTTAACATGGAGGAAAATTCAACGCGAAGTAGGTTAATAGCGATATACTAATATACTATACTAATAATGTATTTTTTCATATTTTTCGGTTATCCGTTTTTTCAGTTATCCGACCAACCCCAGTCCCCAATTGAGTCGGATAATCGATGCTCTACTGTACATATATATTAAATAAGTGACTATTCTTGAATGCATGTGAAAACAAAAAAAGTTCATTTCCATTTATACAAATAATTTACATTGTGTATAGTATTAATCATGTGTAAAAACACTGATAAAAGTAGGATTTTTGAGAAACATTTAGTCTATAAAAGGGTAAAAATATATGATATGTTTTTACTCCCTTTTATAGACTAGGCATTTCTCAAAAAATCATACATTTATTGCATCTCTTGTAATATGATAGAGTTTGAAAATTTACTACATGAAGAATCTAGTCATTTTAAATATGTTTGTAAATGAATACATTATAATTCTTAGTGTTTAATATTTTTATCTTATTGTTATCTTATCATTTTTTAATGTTTTCTTTATTTTCTATTTACATTTGTATTTTTGTATATAATATATTTTATGTATCTGGTCTATTCTGTTAATCAGGGGGCTGGAAATGTTTTGTCATATACATGACATTTCCATTTGTAAAAAAAAATAAATAAAAAAATAAACAATCTTTCATACATTGTAACTTCAACTCTATGAATATTGAATTTAAGAAAAAAATAAAATACTTATATAATTTTAGAAATTTTAAATACTTGTTAATTACTTACCTTCTTAGATAATTCATTTGTATATATTTTTACTAGATACATCTTTCTCTGATGAAACTTATCTCTCTAAACACAATTCCACTTCTTCAACCATATTTTTTGCTTTGTTTTTAAACTAATAGGCAATAAAAGATTAAAAGAGAACTAAAGTTTATTATTAAAAATGAAAGTACATCCAAATAACGTATACAGAAAAATTGGCTGAACGTTACTTCGCCTCAAAATTTGGATTAACTAAACCATAGACAGCTTTGTTTTTAAATTTTCAAGNTTACGCATGCTTTTATTTTTGGTCACATAATACCAAGAATACAATAAAAGCCAGAAAATTTTTTTTTTTACTTTTTAGTGCATTTACATGAATAAAAATATTTTTTATTTTCTACTTTTTAGTTTTATATATGAAACACTGAATTCTTGAAAGTTTTGGTTTAGCATTTAATTGGAAAGCGAGTGAAAAATTGAGTTACAAGGTTTTATTTAGACAGTACAACTAAAAAGGGACAATGAATTTATTAAGTTATGTGTAGTGTCATCTTTTATCAGATCTAATTTATAAACTAATTTTTTACTAGTTGTTAAAATTCTTTGCAAACTTTAAAAAAAAATGTATTCTCATCAGAATATACAGTGGGTGATCGGTTAACGAACAGATCGGACAACGAACACTTTCGCGATGGATTTTTATGTTCGGACAACGAACACTTTCGCGATGGATTTTTATGTTTGGACAACGAACACGTGATCGGATAACGAACACCCCACAGAACAAACACAAGAAGAAGCAACGTAAAATAATGAATACCGCTTGGTCTTCCCTTGTCTTCGGGCAACAATTCGAAACTTTTCAGAGTGTGGGAGACGTCGACATCGACGCTCAAGCCGGTATATACCAATCGGATAGTATTCCTCCGAACTTTGAAATTCTCCCTTGTAATTCCAGCCTTTTATTTTTCTGACAAAACAATTCTTTTGTGTATTCGCGAGACTGTCGGGTAGGCACTCGTTAAGTTTTGCGTCTGCTTTTCTTTTCGAAAGGTGAGAGTATAATAGCAAAGGTAGAGAGTGAGCAGAAGATGCCTAATGTTGCTGGGCAATATGGCGTAACAGGTAAACAGGTCATCGAAGAGTTCGTAATGTAACCTAAAACGGATCCGACAACGGAAGAATGCCAAGAACTCTCGAATGAAGAACACCAAGAAGTCGAAGAATCCAAGAATCCGCGTAAGTCGAATTCGACTTACGCGGATTCGCTTACATACATCTGACTTGGATTTTTCACAAATTGGGTATAATTTCCCAATTTGTGAAAAATCCAAGTCAGATATATGTAAGCTAATAAATGTTCTCGTTAATTAATCTTATCTTGTCTTTTGATTCGTTTACGGTTACAAGAAATTACCACAGAGTCTCTCGAGTCTCCGTAGATATAACAAACACAGAAATAAATAACACAAAATAAATTGTAGCTATGTGTCGATTCCGCGCGACACATCTGAATATGTAAGCTGAACAATAGTATGGGGGGAGTGAGTAATCAAGAGTTGCATGGCGCTCAAACAAAAGATGAATCGACGAGATTTGAAAATCGCGTAACTCCGGGTTCGCATAAGTCGGGGTAGCGTAAGTCCAGGTATTAGTGTAATTAGAAATTCAAGAATGATGTACAATACATTAACTTAACAAACTCATAACTCTGGAGAATAATTTATACCATAAAGATCTGGACATTTTATTAGATATCAATAGAAGAGTGATTTTATTATTATTATTCATGAAGAAATTTTAATATAAATACAGTAGACTCATTATAACAGATTGCACAAACCACCAAAAATGATCTGTTATTCCAAGAATCCATTATAATCACAAACAACAGATTTCCCACATACCCAAAAAAAAATATCCATTCAAAAAATTTCCATTTTTTAACTCCCTTCTTCTGTCTGTGCCTTCTCTTAAAAGGAGGTTGGTGGCCAGCAAATACCACTGTTCTCTTTTGTAACTTTTATGAATAATTTCAGTATCCAGTCCCGTCCATTCCTTGAGCAACCAACTACATCATCAAACCCAGAAATGACGTCTTGGAGGAGACTTCCACAGGAAGTTAAAAGAATGATCTCCTACTCCAAACTCACAAAAAGGCACAATGAAAAATTATAAAAGAATGATGTAAGAATAATGACACAACTTAAAGATTTCTAGAATTAAATCAATGCTAGCCAGTTAAGTAAGTAAAATAGGGTTGAGTAAGCAGAATCATGTAACATCATCAACCACAGTATAAGGAGGAGGTGAAGCTTAAAATTGAACAAAGTGATGCTAAGGATTGAGCAATGTTAAAGCAAGGCTTTCAAGTTCCATTGATGATGTAGTGGTGACGGTTAGGCAAATTGAACTTGTAAGATTTCTTTGTGAATTTTCGATAGATTTCAATTTCATATTTTGCTTGTCTGTTCTGTAGAGATATTCTAAGATAGTAATAATTTAATTTTTAAGTCTCCACGTGTCAAGAAAAGTTTCTTTTACATATACTGTATGTTGGTTTTTGGATTTGATAAAATATCTTTTTGTATATTTTGAATTTTTGCCAACATTATTTTGTTATTGTACAGTATATATTTGGGCTTTAAAAAATAAATAGATTTTTTTGTTATTGCACATAGAAATTATTTTGGATTTATGATTCATTAACAATTTTTCATCACTTATTGCCCATGTTAAGTCCAGGCCTGGAAGTAACCAAATCCTCATTTATGTAATGTACCATCAGGAAACTATCCGGATTCTCAACAGAAATAGATAAGACGTTACACACCATCTATTGAAATCTTTGCAATATCAGCGAGCTCATGTACTTTCACTCGTCAATTATTTAATAGAGCATTGTGAATTTTTGCAATGATTTCCTTGGTCATTACAGTTTTTGGGCATCTTGAACATTCATCATCAAAAATGGAAGAACAACATTATTTAAATTCAGCAGCCCATTTCTTCACTGTAGAAAACAATGCTGAAGAAGTCTTTCAAAGTGAAATCCAACTCTTTTTTCATATTTGTTGGCATTAAACCTTTTAAAACAAAGTATTTTATCACAGTACAACATTTAATTTTATTCATTTTTTGGAAAATACCAAAGCTTGTTTGCTTTGCTTGACTACAATAAACAAACTACTAAATGCACTATATTAAAAAGCTTGCCTGTATTAATTAATTAATAACAAAAATACCTATCATGTGTTTTTGTTAAGCCTATGATAATAAGCCTCTAATAAGCCTGTTCATTAATCCCAAGTAACTATGTTTTTGTAATTATTAAATGCATGTTTGAAATTTCACAGTGCACCTTCTAATGGATTATACTTCAGAAATAACCTTACCATTTGATACTACCAGCACCACCTCTGTGTCAAGCCAAGGACTATTCAAACTATCTCTGTATTGTAAATCTTAGTTTATATTATATTTACATTGTACACAATAATTATATTAAATCATTTTCTCTATAAACCTTTTTAATAAACTGAGGTAAAACTTCAAAGTATATAAATATCTGAAAAGCATCTATAAAGTTAATAATTTGTGAGATTGTGAGAGTTGGTTCAAATAAAAAATGTTTCCTGGTACACATACTTTGTATACCAGGAAACATTTTGAATAAATCTCTATTTCGCTTAATTACAACTTTTTTGTGTTGTATTTGTTATATCAAATATCAAATAATCTTTTATATTTTGAAGCTGAAATTCTTTGTTCATTCTGTTTCTAAAAAAGCTCAAAATAAAAAGACAAAATTACCTGTATTTCCAAATTTGTCTTTTTCTGTTAAATCATTTCCAACGCTAAAGTTCATATATTTGTAAGCAAGCATAAAATGAATATTTGCTGAATCTGAAATTAATTTCCAAGATCAGTCTTTTCCATATATTTATAAGTTATCATCTAAATTAATTAATTATTCAATAATTATTCAAATTAATCAATTATTAAATTTTTGAATTAATTACTTTAAAGTAATTAATTTAAAAATTTAATAATTGGTTGATTTTAAACAAAAATAAAACATACTAAAAACTAAATTCAAATATTAATAAAAAATATATAAATGTTGAAAAAGTACATATGATATGTATGTATGTATGTATGTTACAATCTATGATGCAAGTATATGAAATCATGTGAATAACCAACAAGCAACTATTTATCGTGACATCTTCACAATGCTGGTCTGCATTTTGAATTATATTTTTAACTTATTTAATTTAAAATATATGCTCTCCACCTCAAATTAATGGTACCTTGTCTCTGTACATCATACTTCCTTTAACAATAGTCGTATTGGTCATCTACCTAACACCTATCAGAGAAAAATTTTTGAATTGAATTAACATGACTTCCAATTTGTATTGGACATTTGTACATAGTTAATTGAGGCTTCCTGCTCATAAGGTTTCCATATCTCGTCTCATCTTTCAGCTACCTAACTCTGTTCTTGAGATTAACGAAAGGCAGACAGACAACAATGGGAATTTATAGGTCTACAATTTTTTCAAATGACAATTATTCATGACATTTGCACATTGTGTAGAGTAGAGCCCAAACTTTTTTGAGCCACTGCCCTCTTGGTTCCATAAACTTATACCCAATGCCACAACTTGTTTTCCCTTGTGTAAGAAAGGCTTGGAAATATTCCTAAAAAAGCATTTCTATAAATTTCACACTTTGTGTCCTTACCATACATTGTCGTCAACATTTGGAAAGCATTAAATGCAATGTTTCTTCTTGCCTGTTTTAACAGAAGAAAGGGAAAAGTTATCAGTGATCTGAACCCTGCCTATGGTCACCGTTTGGTCCTGCTTCAGTGCCCTTCTGCTGTTACCTTGTTTCTTTTTTCCTCCTGGGGAGTAGTAGTGTCTACTTTTGGAACCACTGATGTAGAGAATGACATATATAGACAGCACAGGAATATCAATCATTACTCTAGCAGGCAATATTTGCAATATGCTAAAACAACAATGTCCCAGTGCAGCTTAGGTAATGAT